ACAGCCTAGCCTTGGGTTACATACCCCCCTCCCTTAAGACCCCAAACATGGGGGCTTCGGAAATTAGGGGTACCCTATTGGGGTCCTTGTTCTAAGGGAATCCTACTATTTGGGGGATTATATTGGGGTCCCGAACTTTCGTAAACCCCCCATTTTGAGCTTCCAGCGCGCTGGGTGCGTATTTTCCAGCTCTTACAGTATGTATCGGTTATTCGGGTGGAATACTCTCAACCTAGAAACCAAGCACCAGGAGACAGTGATACTGTGTGCCATAAGTGTGCCAGACGCGTACCGGGTACCAACGACACCTCTCACTGGTCCCCTTCATCATGTCTTAAGTATACGAAGTTTGTCCTGTGCACCTACAGAGATATTGGCCCGGTTGGAGAACCTCCACCGGGTCTTTTAAGCGCCCCACCCCGAATGAAATCGGGCAAAAGGTGCTTGGGATCTTTGTGTCTCGTCCCTTGTTTGGGTTCAAGAGCTGTTCCCTAGAGGGCTCCAAAAGGGCCAGCTCCTGCAAACTCTGGCTTAGGGGTTAGGGTTTAGGGTTTAGTTTAGGGTTTAAGAAACTAGCGGGGCCCTACACGACAGCCCCCAAGCCCGTGACCCGCGAAAGGTTGGCGGTGTCCCAAGTTGCGAAGGAGGATGTTCCCCTGGCTTGTATTGCCTTGCGGGCGCAGGAGTTGGGCTTTAGGGGTTCACGTTGAGCATGGGTTTAGGGTTTAGGGTTTAGGGTTTAGGGTTTAGGGTTTAGGGTTTAGGGTTTAGGGTTTAGGGTTTAGGGTTTAGGGTTTAGGGTGTAGGGTGTAGGGTTTAGGGTTTAGGGCGCCTTCCACCCCCAAACACCTAAAAGCCCTAAACCCTGAGCCCCCCCAAAGGGCCACTTGCTAGGAAACTGTTGCCAGTTACTTGAAAGAGCACGATCTGCTATGAGCTCCATAGGTTGAACTGGACGAAATTGTCTGCGATCCTCTCCATAGGTTGTTGCGTTCCGAAACCCGAAGCTAAGGTTTAGGGTTTGGGGTTTAAGGTTGGGGTTTAGGGCTTAGAGTGTAGTGGCTTGAAAACCCCTAGCCCTTTCCCCGAAAGCCCGTAAAGGCCTGGACCCTAAACCCTCAACCCCTAAACTTCCCCACCCTAACCCTAAGCCCTAAGCCCTAAGCCCTAAACCCTAAACCCTAAACCCTGAACCCTAAACCCTAAACCCCTAAAGCTCCACCTTGAAAGGTGCCTTACCTAGAAGTCATCTTTGCCCTCGCCGGCGACCAGAATCCTGCAGGCCAGTCGGCTTCGTTAAGGTTTGGGGGGTGGGGGTTGGGGAGCTTTGAGATTAGTTTGGGTGGGAACCCTAAACCCTAAACCCTAAGCCCTAAACCCTAAACCCTAAACCCTAAACCCTCAACCCTAATTGTAGCGCGTGCTCGGCGCTTGCTGCTTGCAAGGGCTCTGCGGCTTTCTGGTTTAGGGTTTAGGGTTTAGGGTTTAGGGTCCAGGGTGAGGGGTTTCGATGTCGGATCCGCACGGGGGCGCGCGTGCGCGCTTCGTGCTCGAAGGCGTGCTCTCGCCACAGTCCCGTTGCTTCTTGAAGCAGCGTTCCGTGCACACGAAAACCCCGGCAGGGACGCGCTTTTTTTTCGGCATGTTGGGCCTTTTTGGGGCCCTGGGTGCTCGAAATTGTCTGGGAGTGGTCGGGAAAGAGGTTGTTTTTTAGGTCATCGTAGTCAGCACCCGGGGCTGTGCTATTTTTGGCTGCTCTTGGATGTTTTTCTCATGGTTCCGAGCAGTCCTGGGTCGATTTGCTAACCGTTTAGGGTTTGGGGTTTAGGGTTTGGGGTTTAGCGTTAAAAGGGTCAATTTCCTAGGGGGCGTCCCTGTTAAGTTCGCAGACTACGACCTCAGGGCCCAAGGTGGACTTTTTGGGCCTGCGCGTCTCAGAAGCTATGCCAGGTGCTGCGCGGTGGCTGGAGAATATGGTCGAATCCCCAGTCTCGAGCCTTCGGAGTTCAGTCTTCAGGGCCTTTAGAAGTCCCACGCCTGTCCTGCCTAGCAGCTTGAGTGGTGCCCGTACGTTCAAAAGCGGAGACCTCCAGACCCACTGTGTCTTTATCTTGCACACAAGTATATGTCATAGACGGCGTGCAATCATGGCATCGCTGCCCATTGGCACTTCACCGCAAACCGCCTACGTTCCAGCGGCGGCTACCAAGAGTACCGCTCCGACAGAAGGCTTGAAAGTTTGAAACCTAAGCCCGAGACAGAGACAGAGAGAGAGAGAGAGAGAGAGAGAGAGAGAGGGAGAGAGACACCGCAATCAGGTTGAAAAAAGGTTAGCCCTAGACTTACATAGACTTCTACCCTAAACCCAAAAACAAGCACTGAGTTCCGCAAGCCCCAAAAAGCCCTAAACACGATGAGAAGCCTCCCCAACGCCTAAGCCCTTGAGCTTCCCGAAGCTCAACCTCCCCAGCATGCCAAAGGGCATAAAACCCTCAACCCGACACCCCTTAGCGCTTAAGGGTTTGAGGTTTAGGGTTTATTCTTAAACCCCTGAAGCCCTCCAGGCCCTAAACCCTAGCCCTAAACCCTAGCCCTAAACCCTAAACCACGCTTCGTTCTACGAGGTGGAAGCAGGCCAAGAGCCACCCCTTGAGGCCTACAACGCCATCATCGGGACTGCTGTTCGGGGGTTGTGGGGTTTAGAGTACAGTGGGGTTTAGGGTTTAGGGTGCCGGGTTTAGAGTACAGGGTTTAGGGGTTTAGGGGGGGTTGAGGGGTTGTGGAGTTTGGGGGTTTAGGGGCTTAGGGGTTTAGGAGTTTGGGGTTTAGGAGTTTAGGGGTTTAAGGTTTTTGGAGTTTAGGGTTTAAGCCTTCGAGGGTTTCAGGCTTTTATGTAGGGGTTTAGGGCAGTTTAGGGCCAGGTGTTTGTGGTTGACAGACTGCGGGGTTTAGGGTTAGGGGACGATTGTTAAGGATTCAGGGTTGAGGTAAAGTGGCTCCGGTTTAGGAAGTGTTTAGGCCTGTTCAGGGGCGATTTCCAAGTGCCTTCACCCAACCCAGGTTCTCCGAGTTCAGAAGCTAGATCGCAACTTGTGTTTGGACTGTCAAGAATACACGAACCTGAACCTCAAAACCGCATCGTGTGGGTTTCGGAATTTAGGGGTACCTTCTTGGGGTCCTTCTTATATGATAAGGCAATCCTCCTATTGGGGATCTATTTTGGGGGGCTGCCCTATTTTCGTAGAACCCCACATTAAACCCAAGCCCAAAGCTCTGCGCCTTCCCAGGAGCTACAGCAACGCCCCGCGCTCGGCATCCTTGAGCTTTGATCCGCGGCGCGCGATGCCGGGAGGGTTTAGGGTTCCAAGCGCTGGTGGTCCCTAAACCCTAAACCCTAAACCGAAACTCTAAACCCTAAACCCTAAACCCTAAACCCTAAACCCTAAACCCTAGACCCTAGACCCTAGACCCTAGACCCTAGGCCCTAGACCCTAGACCCTATAGACCCTCTAGACCGTATAGACCCTGGACCCTACACCCTAGACCCTAAACCCTAAACCCTAAACCCTCAACCCTAAACCCTAAACCCTAAACCCGAAACCCTAAACCCTAAACCCTAAACCCTAACATGCGGCTTCCACATTCTCAGGGTCTTCCGGCATGCGCTTGTCTCCTGCTCGGGGCGCATGGTGCTGCAGCGCCAAGTGATGCGAGGTGGGTCAGGCGGAAGAAGCCGGAAGGTGGCTAGCAAGGCGGGCGGGGAGTAATACTCATAGGGAATGGGGGAATGAGGGAATGAGGTATCCTATACAATCCCTTAAAGGGTATTATATAGAGCCCTGTTTCTAGCCTGTGAGCTGTTGCCAACATCATTCCCTACTAAGCACCAAGGGGGAGGGTCCGCCAGAGTTGTGTCTCCAGATGGTTCGATTCTTGGGGGCTCTGTGTGATATGGACGAAATAGGGGACCCCTAAACCCCCCCCCCCCAAAGAGTAGGATGCCCCAATGATAAGGACCCAAATAAGCAGCCCCCTATTTTCGGAAACCCAGAGTATAGAGTCGCACGGGTTCAGGTGCAAGGGGTATAAGGAGGGACCCCTAGAAGGGAAACTTCATCTTATTCCCGATATAGCCGACTCCCTTATCAGGGTCTCCTTTAGTCCCAGTGTAGGGGCAATGGATGGAGGCTGAGCTTGACAAAGATGAGCCCCACCCTGGACTCCTACAAGCCTGCCGGGTACCTGGTGAGGGCTTGGGCGTGAGGGTGCACCTTAAACACTGCACCCTAAACCCTAAACCCTAAACCCTGAACCTAAAACCTAAACCCTTAACCCTTAACCCGAAACCCTAAACCCTAAGCCCTAGGCCTAAACCCCAAACCCTAAACTTTGCGAGGTCCTTGACGCCTGGGCATCAGCCGGGGACGCCGCGCAGTTGCAGGAGCTTTGGCAGGACGGCTCGATGCAGTGCACCCTAAACCCTAAACCCTAAACCCTGAACCCTCAACCCTGAACCCTAAACCCTAAACCCTAAACCCTAAACCCTAAACCCTAAACCCTAAACCCTAAACCCTAAACCAAAACCTAAACCCTAAACCCTAAACCCTGAACCCTAAACCCTAAACCCTAACCATGATCTTTAACATAGAGATTGCCAGGTTGGCTCCCCTCAAAGACAGGGTCTAGCCTCCCAAAGCTGCGGGGTACAGCACATCGGGGCCCCCACAAGTAAGCTTCAGGAGATGTCGGGCAAAGACTCCAGCATCATTCCCGATGATGACTGCTACTGCACCATGCTCCAGAGCGCCTGCGCCTCTGGTGACGCAGCAGAGGTCAAGGCTGGACAGAGCTCATGGCAGGGATTTTACAGACCCTTTGGGTCAACATCTGCAAGAGCCCGCCTCCCATATGCGTTCTGGCAGCGTCCTGGAAAAGCCAGCTTTTTTGGTTCAAGTACCCAAGTCCCCCAGCGCGCGGCGAATCTTTACTTTATCCAAGCCATGGCCCGGTATGCCCAGAACACCACCATTGGCAACACCTGCCCCTGGGGCGCCGGTGATGCCAGCCTCCCGGACGCCTTCACCCTCGCCGCGCAGAAGGCCGCGCGCCGGCGGGAGTCCAAGGAGGGAGCCTCGGAAGTCCCCGAGGTGTCTGAAGCCGCTGAGCCCTCGGAGAGCCCAAAGGAGCCGAAGGCGACCGCCCGCTCCGAGGCCCCCACCGCCACCGCGCGCTCCGCGGCCTCGCGGGCCTCAAGGGTCTCTCGGCTGGACACCGGTCGGATGATGAACCTGATTGAGAAGTGCCTGGACAAGAAGGTGGACGAGATGCGGGCATGCACCACGCTCCGGCCCCCAAGCAACGCGGCCCGGAGCGTGCGCTCCGGGCATTCCGTGCGCTCCGCCGAGACCGTGTCGACCCAGCCTGAGGCGCCATCTCACATCGAGACAGACACGAGCGTGACCTAGTAGTAGAGTAGGTAAACCTTTGACCGTTTTGGGGTAATGTGTAGGTAAACCTTTGACCGTTTTGGGGTAATATACTCCCCTTATCATCCCAAAGGTTAACGCCCTTTAGTTCCCCCAGGTTACCGGACAACTCAGGTGAAGGCGGAGCCGCAGCCGGAAGCTGTGACCATGGCCGGGAAGCGGGCCCAGGCGCACAAGCTCTCGGATGCGGCGCTGGGGAAGTTTGACGACGACGCCTCGCGCCTGGCCTACCTGGAGATGCAGAAGAGTGCCGCGGAGGCGCGCAACAAGAACCGCTCCGCACTCTCCTTCGGCTACGAGCCCCCGTCCCGCGAGGAGGCGAAGGGTGAGACCATGGCCGGCAGGCGCGCGCAGGCGCAGAAGCTCTCGGATGCTTCGCTGGGCAAGTTCGACGCCGACCAGTCACGTCTTGCTTACCTTGAGATGCAGAAGAGCGCCGCAGAGGTGCGCAACAAGAACCGCTCCGCCCAATGCTTTGAGAAGGCCGAGGCTCCCCAGTATCCAGCTTTGCTGCGCGAGGTGGAGGGGCTGGCGGAGAAGAAGGGGACGAATGTGAGCATGGCGGGCAAGCGCGCCAAGGCCCAGAAGGTCTCGGAGGCCACGCTGGGCAAGTTTGATGCCGACAAGTCCCTCGATGCGTACCTTGACATGCAGAAGAGTGCGGAGGAGCTCCGCAACAAGCACCGGGTCGGGCAAGGCATCTTCTGAGCACATCGGGCCTAAAACTTTCAGAAGGCTGCTGGCTCCCGAGGAGCACGCAGCCGAATTTTGCAACCTCACGGGTGGTGAAAGAGAAGTTTTTTGGGTTCCAGGTGCCTGATGGGCGTGCTTGGCCCGGGATGCGGCGCAGTCTGCACTCCTAGCCATGTCCTGCCTGAGGATTTACAGAATCAATCAGGCACCTGTGAGCTCGCCTGTATAGCCAGCAGATATGGCACCACCTGGGCATCCACTCCTACAAATGGAGGGGATACATGTACAGCCAATCCGGCGTCACTCAGCTCTTGCCTTCTTCTGCTGCTCTTCCACTCTTTCACCCCGTCCTTCGTTTGAAGTATGACTCCTCTGGCCGGTAGCTTAATCGGTCATGGCCACATCGTCCTTTGCCTTTGAAGATTTAAAGGCACCCCCGAGCACTTCGTCGCAAAAAGAGCCGCGCCGGCATTTCTGTTTTCTCAGCTGTGCCACCACCATGATCGCGATTGTTGACGTATTCGGATTCGGATTTGTTCATGGTCTGCTCTTGAAGCCCCGTGCCAGACTTGGCTGGACCGGTTCGAGTGGGAGGGCATCTCCCTCAACTGGAAAGCCTACTCGGAGCTCATCAAGCGGGCGTCTCAGTGTCATTTGCCCAGAGTGTCCGCTTCAACTGTCCTAAAGACCTTGCAGAAGCCCTGAACTGAACTCAAACCCTATAGCCAACAAAACACATAACATGAACTTGTTCCACATCCAGCCTTGCGTAAGTCATGGCTGCTGGTTTGTGTCGCTGCTAATTAAAGATTATAAAGTCAATGTATCGGAAATGGCGCCGAATCCGAAGCTTTTCCTCTGCACCGAAATAGCCTGCGTGTGCGGCTGGCGTACGGAAGACTTTCCGGAGCCGAGGCGGTTGTTTGCGGCAGCTGCTCTTGCCTAGTCTGCTTTGAACACAAGAGCGTAGAGAGTGCATGATTTGTAAGATCGCCCTGCTCCCCAGCTATCCAAAGACCTCCGATTTAGGGTTTGGGGCTTAGGGCTTAGGGCCTAGGGTTTAGGGTTTAGGGTTTAGGGGTTCGGGCTTTAGGGTTTTTTGTTGCCCAAAGCCGCAGCACCGAATACGAAGCTCGGAAGGCCTGAACTGCAAACGCCCCTCAACCCCCCCAAACCCCCCCTGAACCCCCTGAACCCTGAACCTCCTAAATCCCTCAACCCTAAGCCCCTCAACCCTAAGACCGAAGACCCTAAACCCCACACCCGAAACCCGAAACCCTCAACCCCAAACCCCTCAACCCCAAGCCCTAAGCCCTAAGCCCTAAGCCCTAAGCACTAAGCCCTAAGCCCTAAGCCCTAAGTCCTAAGCCCTAAACCCTAAACCCTAAAGCCTAAGCCCCAAACTCCTAAGCCCTAAGCCCCAAGAGTGGCCCCGCAGGTTCTACACCTCCAGAGGCGAGCTTGATGCAGCGTCCGGGGACCCCAGCAATGGTTCTTTATGTGGGTTTAGGACTTAGGGTTTAGGGGGTTGACGGGGTTTCGCTGGTTTAGGGGGGGTTAGGGTTTAGGGTTTAGGGTTTAGGGTTTACGGTTTAGGGTTTAGGGTTTAGGGTTTAGGGGGTTTAAGGGAGCTTAGGTTTTAGGGTTTAGACATGCTCCCTTTTTGCGGTATCCTCATCCTTTGGCCCCCAGATTCCTAAAGCCCGGAGTCCTAACTTGCCAGCTCGAGTTCGTAAATAGGGTTTAGGGTTTAGGGTTTAGGTTTAGGGTTTAGGGTTCAGGGTTTAGGATTCTCATTCCTTCGAAGCAGGATTGCCACGGTTCGGTTCCGGTTCGGTTTGTGTGAATCAGCCTAAGCTCCGAATCCGTCACCTCGAAATCCACACCTTAATTCCTCCACCCTCCACCCGAATCCCTGTTCCTCCCGCGGGCCCCAAACTTAAACCCTAAACCCTAAACCCTAAACCCTAAACCCTAAACCCTAAACCCTAAACCCTAAACCCTAAACCCTAAACCCTAAACCCTAAACCCTAGCTCCCGAACCCCAAACTCAACAACCTTGGCTCGCAAGGTTCGAGCTCTCAGAGGATGTGGCTAACGGCGATGCCTTCGAGACGGGCCCAGGCCTGTTGAAGGGTTTAGGGTTTAGGGTTTAGGGTTTAGGGTCTAGGGTCTAGGGTCTAGGGTTCGCAAGAGATTCAAAAGGCCGGCCTTCAACTTCAAGCGCTAACACCCCTTAACCCCCTAAACGCTTCTGACTTCACAGAACAGTGGCTCAACTCGTGGCCCTATTTTGAAAACACCAGGAGCCTTCAGTAAAAGCCCTCAACCCCCCCCGCCCCCCCCCAACCTCCTAAGCTCCCAGACCCTCAAGAACCCTGATTTCCCCCCCCCCCCACCGCCCCCCCATTCCGCCCTCGTACATGCCTAAGCGCCTGAGCTCCTGAACCTGCGAAGCGCTGAGCCCCCTGAGCCTAAACCCTAAAGCCCCCTAAGCTTCCTAACCCCTAAACCCTAAATCCCAAACGGTAAACCGTAAACCCTAAACCCCAAACCCCAAACCCCAAACCCTAAACCCTAAACCCCAAACCCTAAACCCTAAACCCTAACCCCTACCTACACCCTAAGGCCCCCGAAGCCCTTCGCCCCCATGTTTACTAGCGCCTGCTCTCCAGAGGCGCATGGCTGAGGCAACTCCAGGCTCCCCTTTTGTGATTGGGGGTTAGGGTTTGGGGTTTGGGGTTTGGGGTTTAGGGTTTAGGGTTTAGGGTTCAGCATCTCAAGTTCGAGCATTCACTAGTCAAGCAGCTTGTCAAGCGTTGGAAAAAAATCCACCCACCCGAAACCCATAACATTGAGAAAATATAAAGTTCACTCAATACTTTCCCGGTAGGCTTAAAGCTCAAAGTCCAATTGGTCCAAAATATTTTAGTTTCTAACGGACCCAAAACCCGAAATTTAATCTAAGGCCCGCAATAAGCCCTTTATGCTCTTAGGGCCCTAAACCCTACGGTTTAGAAGCCCCGATCGGTGAAGGGTCGGTTTTGGTCAAAAATCCAGAAAACGAGAGCCCACCCAGAACCGTCGATTTCAGTACTAAAAAGTCGCATTTTTAACTGGGACCCTTGCCGATCCTGGGGTCCCCCTCATTTGGGGTGTTTTGGGAGGCAAACTTTCCCTCTCAAGGGGGGGTCGGAGTTTGAGGCAAGGGGGGGTCTCCGAAGACTATTTTGCCTTTAAAACTGGAAAATACGACCCCCCCTTGACCAAAACTAGGCTGTGAAAAGGTCGCCGGGGTGGCCCGTCATCAGAATTGAGGGTTAAAACACCCTGAAACACCCTGAAAACATTGGAAAACCTAAAAAAAACTGAAAAACTTTGAAAAACCTTGACAAAACGTGAAAAACTTGAAATCCTGAAGCCGGTGAAGCTCGGTTTTGGTCAAAAATCCAAAAAGCGAGAAGCCACCCAGAACCGTCGATTTCAGTACCAAAAAATCGCATTTTTAACTGGGACCCTTGCCGATCCCTCATTTGGAGTGTTTTGGGAGCAAAATTTGGCCTTAAACCCTATGCCCCAAACCCTACGAGCCCTAAACCCTATGCCCCAAATAGAAAAAACCATTTGCCGACGAAGGGGGTCAGGGTTTAGACCCCCCCCCGGGTGGAAAAAAACCATTTGCCGACGAAGGGGGTCAGGGTTTAGGGCCCCCCCCGGGTGGAGGGCCCCCCCCGGAAAAAACCATTTGCGGACGAAGGGGGTCAGGGTTTAGGGTACGCATAGGGCCCCCCCTGGGTGGAAAAAAACCATTTGCCGACGAAGGGGGTCAGGGTTTAGGGCCCCCCCCAAGTGAAAAAAACCATTTGCCGACGAAGGGGGTCAGGGTTTAGGGTCCCCCCGGGTGGAAAAAAAACCATTTGCCGACGAAGGGGGTCAGGGTTTAGGGCCCCCCCGGGTGGAAAAAAAACCATTTGCCGACGAAGGGGGTCAGGGTTTAGGGTACGCATAGGGCCCCCCCCGGGTGGAAAAAAACCATTTGCCGACGAAGGGGGTCAGGGTTTAGGGCCCCCCCCGGGTGGAAAAAACCATTTGCCGACGAAGGGGGTCAGGGTTTAGGGCCCCCCGGGTGGAAAAAAACCATTTGCCGACGAAGGGGGTCAGGGTTTAGGGCCCCCCCCGGGTGGAAAAAAACCATTTGCCGACGAAGGGGGTCAGGGTTTAGGGCCCCCCCCCGGGTGGAAAAAAACCATTTGCCGACGAAGGGGGTCAGGGTTTAGGGCCCCCCCCGGGTGGAAAAAAACCATTTGCCGACGAAGGGGGTCAGGGTTTAGGGCCCCCCCCGGTTTTGGTCAAAAATCCAGAAAACAGGAGGCCACCCAGAACCGTCGATTTCAATACTAAAAAATCGCATTTTGAACTAGGGCCGGGGCCGATCCTGGGGTCCCCCTCATTTGGGCCCCCCCGGGTGGAAAAAAACCATTTGCCGACGAAGGGGGTCAGGGTTTAGGGCCCCCCCCGGGTGGAAAAAAACCATTTGCCGACGAAGGGGGTCAGGGTTTAGGCCCCCCCTCGGGTGGAAAAAAACCATTTGCCGACGAAGGGGGTCAGGGTTTAGGGCCCCCCCCCGGGTGGAAAAAAACCATTTGCCGACGAAGGGGGTCAGGGTTTAGGGCCCCCCCCCGGGTGGAAAAAAACCATTTGCCGACGAAGGGGGTCAGGGTTTAGGGCCCCCCCCCGGGTGGAAAAAAACCATTTGCCGACGAAGGTCATTAGGGTTTAAATATACATAGTAAGAGAGGGTTTAGGGTTTAGGGTTGAGTGGCTTTGTGGCTTTGTGGCTTAGGCGCTTGCAAGATGCTGGTTCTCGGATTTTTTCGGTTTGGGGTGGTGGTGGTGGGGGGATTGATTGTGGCTCCTGGTCCCAGCCTCAGAGCATGCTTTGTTTTCCTTCTGTCATGCTGCGCTGCTTGTGGTTTAGGGTTTAGGTTTAGGCTTTAGGCTTTAGGGTTTAGGGGTTTGGTTTGTCTTTGCTGCAGGGTCACAGTTTATGCTTCCGGGTCTCAGGCGTTAGGGAAATGCGGGTTTACGATATTCAGGGAGCCCTATAATCGACCTCCAAAAATAGTAGGATCCACTTATGATAAGGAACCTAAACCCTAAACCCTAAACCCTAAACCCCAAACCCTAAACCCTAAACCCTAAACCCTAATATCGTAAACCCCCACATGGCCTTTCTACTCTTGCGCTTGCTTTTGAAGCCCCGGCTGCAGCCTGAGCACGCAACCCTCGACCTTGCACAGGCCCTGGGCTTCCGAAATTTCGGGGTGCCCCGCTACGAAACCCTAAACCCTAAACCCTGAACCCTAAACCCAAAACCCTAAACCCCAAACCCCAAACCCTAAACCCTTTACCCTAAACCCTTTACCCTAAACCCTAAACCCTAAACCCTAAACCCTAAACCCTAAACCCTAAACCCTAAACCCTAAACCCTAAACCCTACAAGAAAGACTCAAGTCTTTTGGGGTACGTTGGGGGGGCCCTATTCGGGGAAATGACGGCACCGAAGCTTTAAGGGTACCGGTATTCCAACATGTTGAATGTCGACGAGCTTAGCACTCTTATAGTGTGTTAGGGCGTAGGGCTTAGGAATTAAGACCCTAAACCCCAAACCCTGAACCCTAAACCCTAAACCCCAAACCTCAAACCCCAAACCCTAAACCCTAAACCCTAAACCGCGGCTTCGGGGTTCTCAGGGGTTTTTGAGAGAGTTGCCGCGAGGTGGCCGCCGACCAGGGCAGCGCTGGGCACGTGGAGAAGGCACCTTGGCTCACCACCCCTCCGCCGCCCTAGACCCTATAAACCCTATAAACCCTATAAACCCTATAAACCCTATAAACCCTATAAACCCTATAAACCCTATAAACCCTATAAACCCCATAAACCCTATAAACCCTATAAACCCTATAAACCCTATAAACCCTATAAACCCTATAAACCCTATAAAGCCTATAAACCCTATATACCCTAAACCCTAAGCCCTAAGCCCTTATCCCGAAACCCTAAACGCTATAAACCTTAAATTTAAGTCCTGAAATCTAAGTTCTACATTCCAATCTCTAAACCCAAACCATAAATACCCAAAAACCTGAACCCTGAGCCCGAATTAAGTCTAAACCCAAAATACCCCAAAACCCTAAACCCCCTTTACCCTTTACCCTTTACCCTAAACCCTAAACCCTAAACCCTAAACCCTAAATCCTAAACCCTACACCCTAAACCTCGGCGACCTGGAGGTGGCGCGGGCGATGCACCGGCACTGCGGCAGCCTGGGCAAAGTAGGTGAAGGCCAAGGGAAGCCCTGAATCACTGAAGCCACAAAGACGAGGGTCACGACGGTTTAGGGTTTAGGGTTTAGAGTTTAGGGTTTAGGGTTTAGGGGTGAGGGGTTAGGGTTGAGGGTTGCATTAGGAGACACAGACACAGGAGAATGTGCAAATTCCTCTGTGCCTTGGTGCTGTGGGTACTGCAGATGGTTTGTGGGTTTTGAATGGAACAAGGCCTGGGTTTTTCGCAGGGGGTGTGGGGGTGCACAGGGCAGAGTTCATTTCTCGGAGCTTCCCTGTTTTTCTCCAAAGAATCCCCCCACAGGGAGCCCATTGGTTCATTTTTGGCCCCCTTACCTGTTCTGGGCTCCTGCATTCCTTGATAAGACTAAGTACGGGTACCTTGATCATAGCATGGGTACTGGCAGTTGCTGGGCGAGAAGCCTATATCTTCCCCAACCTCCCGCCCTCACCCACCCCTGAACCCCAAAACCTAAGCCCTAAGCCCCAAAACCTGAACTCAACCCCAAACCGGAAACCCAAACCCCGAACCCCAACCCCCATACCCTAAACCACAAAACCTAAAACCTAAACCCCATACCCTAAACCCTACACCCTAAACCCCAAGCACCAAACCCTAAACCCCAAACCCCAAACCCCAAACCCCAAACCCCCTACACCCTAAACCCCAAACCCTAAACCCCAAACCCCAAACCCCACACCCTCAGCCCCAAACCCTAAACCCTAAACCCCAAACCCTAAACCCCAAACCCCAAACCCCAAACCCTACACCCTAAACCCCAAACCCTAAACCCTAAGCCCCAAACCCCAAACCCTAAACCCTAAACCCTAAACCCCAAACCCTAAACCCCAAACCCTAAACCCTAAACCCCCAAAACCCAAGAAGCAGGACTCGTGCGGAAAGCCCTGTCCGACGACAAGCTCCGGGCATCGCCCCGCCATGTTTATCGGTTTTAGGGGCTACTTTCCAGGGTTTAGGGTTTAGGGTTTAGGGTTTAGGGTTTAGGGTTTAGGGTATAGGGTATAGGGATAGTCCATAACCCGAAACCCTAAACCCTACATCCTAGACCCTAAATCCTAAACCCGAAGCCCTAAACACCTAAACGGCGACTTTGCAGCTTTTCTGAGTTTTGAGGGCTTTTCAGTGTCCTAGGGGTTGCCGGGTTTCGGCGTTTAGGGCTTCAGGCTTTGGGGTTTCAGGGCGTGGTTACGGTCTTGTTTTTGAGAATATAGGGGGGGGGGGGGAGGGGGTCTGGGGCTTGAGGTTGGGTTTACGGTTTAGGGTTTAGGGTTTAGGGTCTAGGGTTTAGGGTTTAGGGTTTAGGGTTTAGGGTTTAGGGTTTAGGGAGGTGCAGTAGAGATCGCTGTTATGGTCACGCGATATGTCCTTAGCTGTTCGTGCAGGTCGGTCCCATTTGATGCCTTGGGTTGGCAAACAGAGTGTCTTCTCCTGCCACGAGCTTCTTTGCTGTGTCAATCGCATTCCGAGATGCGGGCAATAGCGCGGACATGCTGCAGCAACTGCCGCGACCTGGAACCCTGAACCCGAAGCCCTAAACCCTAAGCCCTAAACCCTATTATTGTATAAACCTTAACCAGTAACAGTAAGAGCAGCAGTAGCAGCAACAGCGCTACCAGTAGTGCCAGAATCATGGCCGTTACGATGGCTCGCCTGGCCTTTGCCATGGGATGCCTCCTCCCATTTTGCGCCGTGCAGGCCAAAGGGTTTAGGGTTTAGGGTTTAGGGTTTAGGGTTGAGGGTTGAGGGTTGAGGGTTTAAGCCCAGAATTTAGGGCTTAGGGGCGTTTAGGATTCAGGGCCCTGAGCCCGAAAACCGGTTTAGGATATTAGGGATGTTTCGACTTAAGGGGATTTAGGTCGACTCTGTGAAGCGTTTTCGTCGCCATAGCCCAACAGACTAAAGTCTCGGGCCAACTTCCTAGAGCTTGTCGGGCTTAGGTTGTGGAGTTTTGTGGGGCTTTTGGCGCTTAGGAGGTTTTGGGGTTTTGGAGGCTTGGGCCATTGGGGGGTTTTGGGGGGTTTAGGGGGCTTACCTCTGAAATCCCTAGACCTCCTGAAGGCCCGTAGACCCTCTTAGGGTCTCCCGAACTCCTCTAAGGCTCAAAGCCACAACAACCTAAAAACCCTCAAACCCTCAAGTCCTCAAACCCTCAAACCCTCAAACCCTCAAGCCCTCAAGCCCTCAAACCCTCAAACCCTCAAGCTCTCAAGCCCTAAACCAAAGACCAACAAACCCTGAGCATCGCAGGGCATGAAGGAATTCGGCACCCGATCTCGCAATACATGTTGATACTTATACACCCGTAAAGGGCTTCTATAGGGAACCTTGTTCCCTTGATCCCGTCTAAGAAGCAGAACCCCAAACCCCAAACCCCAAACCCCAAACCCCAAACCCTAAACCCTAAACCCTAAACCCTAAACCCTAAACCCTAAACCCTCAGCCCTCGACCCTCAACCCTCAACCCTCAACCCTCAACCCTAAACCCTAAACCCTAAACCCTAAACCCTGAACCCTAAACCTGGTCAGACGCTGGCCTTCCGCCCTCCCTGCGCCCCACTGGACGTGGCCTCGCCATACCAAAGCACGTGGAGCTGCTCCTCATCCGGGGTTTAGGGTGTAGGGTTTAGGGTTTGGGGTTTAGGGTTAGGGTTTAGTGTTTAGGGTTTAGGGTTTAGGGTTTAGGGTTTTTTTTTTTTGGGGGGGGGGGGGGGGAAGCGCCAGAACTTTTTTGCACAGGTGGAATTCAGGGCTTGGGTGGTGGAAGTCGGGGACTCGTTCTATAGAGGTGGAATTCGGGGTGTAGGGGTTACGGGTTTCGGGCTTCAGGTTTTCCGAGTTTTTTTGGGGGTGGTGTCTAAGATCTTCGGGTTTGAGATCTTAGGCTTCAATTCTCAGGCTCTTAAGAGTAACAGGGTCTGGGTGCAGGGTAGCAGAGTCGGCCAGATTCAGGGATTTGGGGTATGCACTGGGCTGGGGCTTTTGCCATAATTTGATGATGTCCCTTAGATTAGGGGAGGGGCCTCTAACCCTAAACCCTAAACCCCAAACCCTAAACCCTAACCCTAAACCCTAAACCCTAAACCCTAAACCCTCAAGTGAGGAGGGGGGAGTTCAAGCCATGGAGTGCTTCTAGGCAGAAGCCTCGGACACTTCTTCTGGAGTTGCAGGGTTCTTAACAGGAGGGGGGTTCAAAGAGGGGGGATATATAACCCAAGGTTCGCAAATACACCCCCCCCCCTGCTCCCTAAGGCTCCCGAAGCTTCCCTACAGTTTTCTATAGGTACCTACCCCACTAAACCCCAAGCCCTAAACCCTAAACCCATCACCCTAAACCCTCAACCCTAAACCCCACATGAATCCCCCTCCCTTAAGGAACCTGCAATGATGTGTGGGTCCATCGGTCCGTGTTTTAATACAAAGCGAGACTGAGATCCGCCACAAGGCCCCCCAAAAGCCCTGAACTAATCATTGAAGACTATACCATGCATCAATTACAACGATATAACATTGCAGCAATATTACCTAGGATGCCCAGTAGTACCCTTATTCCCTTTTTGGTAGGTTTAGGTTCCCGTATAAACCCCTTTAAGCAAAAAAGGGCACCCTTTTTCATCCTAGGTTACTGGGCACCTAGTTACTAATATGCTTAGCAATAGGAGTAGCCTTAACCACCCGCCAGCCCAGGCACCGACAACTTGACCGACGCATCACCAGTCCACTGGACAGGCTGGGTTTAGGGCTTAGGGCTTAGGGCTTAGGGTTTAGGGTTTAGGGTTTAGGGTTTAGGGTTTAGGGTTTAGGGTTTAGGGTTTAGAGTTTAGGGTTAGGGTTTAGGGTTTAGGGTTTAGGGTTTAGAGTTGAGGGTTGAGGGTTGAGGGTTTGGGGTTGGCTGTCGGGTTCGGGGCTTGCAGGGCTTGCGGGTTCTGCGTGTTCAGGAAAGTACATGTCCCGAAGGAATCGTAGTTTTCGGAGCCCCATATCAGTTCAGGACTCGTCCTTGCCGTTTGAGGGATTCTGGGGATGTTTTGGGAAGCAGGTGACGAGCTCGATTGGGTTGGCCTGATTCGCGTGGATGGCAGCGTCTACCGCTGGTTGGGCCGGCCAGTGCTGGACTGACTGGTTTAGGGTTTAGGGTTGGGGGAGGCAAAGTCCTGACCCCTGGAACCCTAAATTTTAAATGCAGAATGATCACGTTGGGACTCAAACTCCTTGTGTGTCAAAATTCAATGGAAGTGCTATCACCATTGGCCCACGGACTTAAAGCAACACCTCTGCAGGACATCGCGGCTGCGCGCCAGTTGAGTGTCGAGGTCTTGCCTACGCTAACGCGCTACGTCTTTCAGGCCTGGTGTCTCGTAGGGTGTCCGGGCTGGAGGCTCAGGGTTAGATGTGTCCCGCAAGCAGCAGCGCGCTTGCCCATTGACGAAGTTGTTTGCAGCTAACGACGTCCTTAACCCCACTTCCCTTACCCCCCTGAACTCTGCCGCGGAGTCTACTTCTTTCTGCAGGCGATGGGTCCGACAGTTGCATGGCTCATGCTCTCTTAGAGAGACAGAGTGCGAGCATGATCTTCGCGACAGTACATCAGAAGAGAAGTTCAAGAGTCTAACAAAGCTGTGCATGAGAAGCTGCAGGCTGGACAGGCGACCCTAACCGTTGAGTTCCTGACGCCTGCCATCGACCATGACGAGGACACGCATTTCTGCGCGCTTAGGACTTAGGATATGTAGAAAAAGTTGATAGTCGTCGAGTAATGCAATGGCACAGTATTGTAGCAACAGAATGATACCACAGCACATGAATAATTTAAGAAACACAACATATGAATAATTGTGACTAAGAGAATAACAAAAAATAAGTAGGTACAGTAATGCCAACAGCCAGAAGTCACCGCAGATTGCATAAACCCTAAACCCTAAACCCTAAACCCTAAACCCTGAACCCTGAACCCTGAACCCTAAACCCTAAACCCTAAACCCTAAACCCTAAACCTTAAACCCTAAACCCTAAACCCGAAAGGATCCGTGCGTTCTTGGAGTTGGCAAGGACTTCGTTTGGGCCACGTGCCCGGTGACGACCGTGAGCTTCATGGCTGACGGCGGCCACTCCGTGGAGGTGTACTTCGAGCCTCGGCAGCCCTCGGTTTAGGGTTTAGGGTTTAGGGTTTAGGGTTTAGGGTTTAGGGTTTAGGGTTTAGGGTTTAGGGTTCAGGGTTCCGGGTTTAGGGGTAGTATAGGGGCCGGAGTAAGTTACGGATAGTATTCCCTTTTGGTCCCGATAGAGTTATACCATAATAACCCCAAAACCCTACTTTTTTTTATTCAGGCCCCTATATTACACCCAACTCCAAAACTGAGGTTGGAACCACGGGCCCTTAGTATGGTCCCTTGCCCTCGTCTATAGGGATCCGAAGTAAGGGCCCTGATTACACATGGTGCATATACGGGTAATATAACAAGGGAGCCAAGTGAAGGGCCCATACTTTGAACCCAACCAAAGAAACTAAAACTCTAGAAGCCTAGAGCTTGAAGTCATCAAAACCCAAAGGCCTTTCAACCCTAAACGTGTAGGGTCTTAGGGTTAGGGCATAACATGCCTGCCCGGCTGTCGCGCTCTACTCGCACGCTATGTCCCCCAACCCAAACTATCTTCCCTCCCCTCCCACCCTCCCTTAAAACAAGCACCAGAAACACCATCCTATACCCGTAAAAGCCCAGAAGCCCTGAGGGTTTATGGTACGATGCTCCTGAGCCCGTAAACCCTAAAACTTGAACCCTACAGCCCTAAACAGTCAGGACATGTCAGCCGCGACCGCAACGCAGAAAGATTCTCAGGAGGCTCGCGCCAAAGTGAGAGCCGGATCCGGGGTTCAGGGTTTAGGGTTTAGGGTTCTGGGTTTTCGGTTTAGGGTTTAGGGTTTAGGGTTTAGGGGTTCAAGGTTAGGGGTTTAAGGGGGTTTAGTTTTTTTGTTTTTAATTAAAAGGGGCCATCTGATCCCTGTAAGCTCTACCCCCAAAGCCCTCTAGACCTTATTCCCCAAACCCCCAAACCCCCAAACCCCCAAACCCCAAAACCCCAAACCCCAAACCCCAAACCCCAAGCCCCAAAACCCCAAAACCCCAAAGCCCCAAAGCCCCAAAACCCCAAAACCCCAAAACCTCAAACCCTAAACCCTAAACCCCAAACCCCAAACCCCAAACCCCAAACCCCCAAGCCCCAAAACCCCAAAACCCCAAAACCCCAAAGCCCCAAACCCCAAACCCCAAACCCCAAACCCCCAAGCCCCTAAACCCCACAACCCCACAACCCTAAACCCCAAACCCAAAACCCCACGCCCTAAACCCTAAACCCTAAACCCTAAACCCTAAACCCTAAACCCTAAACCTTAAACCCTAAACCCTAAACCCCAAGCCCACAAGCCTGCTCAAGGTCGCCTGGGCCCGTGAGTCGGGGCCCGGCATCGAGGTCATGCGGACGGGCACCGTCGCACAGAAGGTCTGCGGCCAGACCTCCGACCGCTGTGTGCCTGGGCACTGCTTGGGGTTTAGGGCTTAGGGTTTAGGGCGCCAACCTAAACCAAAAGCCTACTTGCACCCCAAAGCCTCTAGTCCCCTAAACCACGAAACCCCAAACCCCATCACGTTTGGGGTCCGGCCTATCTGTGGGTGTGATGACATACCCAAGTCGCAAACAAAACCCTAAACCCCAAACCTTTAAAAATCCTATGTCCTCAACCCTCAACAAAGGCCCTTGAAAAAACCAATGCAACCCTAGAAGACTTCAAATCTTCTTGAACCTGGTGGCCCAGTGATGCACCTGTCTCTTTGTTGGTGCATGGTTTTCTCATAAAGTAGCCATCGCCAAAAAGGGTGCCCCTTATTTTGATATGGTTGCCCCTAAACCCCTGACCCTAAACCCTAAACCCTAAACCCTAAACCCTAAACCCTAAACCCTAAACCCTAAACCCTAAACCCTAAACCCTAAACCTTAAACCCTAAACCCCTTACCAAATTAACGCCCCAATGCTAACAGGACTGGGGGTTCCGCCACGTGGCGGTGCCTTCCGGGGCCAAGACGGTGATGGCGGCCGCCTCCGAAACCCGGGCCGCCTTTGCCCAGGGCAGCTACAAGCATTTGGAGGATCGGGGCTTTTTTAGTTTTAGTGTTTAGGGTTTAGGGTTTAGGGCTTAGGGTTTAGCGTTTAGGGTTTAGGGCTTAGGGTTAGGGTTTAGGGTTTAGGGTTAGGGTTTAGGGTTTAGGGTTCAGGGTTTAGGGTTTAGGGTTTAGGAGGATCGCGGCGTGTGTTCTGGGACCCAGAGTAGGCCGAAGCTCCTAAGACTGCAGTTGCTTTGGCAGGTTGCCCAGGAGGCTTAGCACATTTAGGGTTTCGGCTTTAATCCCCAAACCCTCAAAACCCACAACGAAAGAGGAGGCAAGGGTTTAGAAGTTAGGTTTTAGGGCCGGTTTAGAAGTGTGAGCCCTAAGACCGGTTGACTCTAGTTCGTTTTAACCAAAAATAGCCAGCCCTGAGCCGCAAATCCTAAACCCTCCATCCTAAACCCCAAACCCTAAACCCCAAACCCCAAACCCCAAACCCCAAACCCTAAGCCCTAAGCCCCAAACCCTAAACCCTACAACCCCAAACCCCAAACCCTAAACCCGATACCCCAAACCCCAAACCCTAAACCCTAAACCCTAAACCCTAAACCCTCAACGCCAGGACGACGCCGGACCCGCCCGGAAGGCTTCAGATCGGCCGCTGGTGCTGTCGGCCTCCCTGGCTGCGCCTGGGTCCAAGCCAACTAAACCCTAAACCCTAAACCCTAAACCCTAAACCCTAAACCCTAAACCCTAAACCCTAAACCCTAAACCCTAAACCCTAAACCCCTAACCCCTAACCCCAAACCCTAAACCCTAAACCCTAAACCCTAAACCCTAAACCCTAAACCCTAAACCCCTAAACCCTAAACCCCAAACCCCAACCCGAGACCCTAAACCCTAAACCCTAAACCCTAAACTCCCTAGGAACTGCCTCGAGGAGCCCTTGAAAAACAGACAGGTGCCGCCCGGGCAAGTTGCAGGGCTTCATCTGATGCTGGACGAGGCCGGGGCTGCGTTTTCACGGGTATGCGGAGCTTTGGGACCTACTGTGGGGGGTTTCGGGTTTGGGTTTAGGTTTTGGGGCTTGGGCTTTGGGGTTTAGGAGTCCTTCTGAGGTCTTCCAGGTATTAAGGGGAATGATAAGAGGGGGTGGGTGGGTGGAGAGAGCTCTGAGTTTAGGGTTTCGGGATGGGGGGTTTAGAAGGGCCCTTCTTGGGGGCTTTGCGATGTTGGGAGCTTGTTGGTGGGCCTTTGAGGTCTTCGGATGTCGGCTGACTTGCAACAGGCATGGGGATAACCGCTGCCGGCCGTTCTAGCTTTCCTCTCTATCCGCCCCAGAGCGGCAGCAGCAATCTACGGGTCGGAATAATTACACTAGTATTCCCTTATGGCCCCCTTGTAACTATTCTAATCATTGAGGCCCCTAGATCATGCTGTTCAGCTCGGCTGTCTGCGGGAGGTCGTGGCGCAGCGCTTCTTCGGAACTGACCTCCGCCCACTCTGGACCCAGCACTTCCCAAACGCCACGCTGGCCTTGGCCGCGGCAGAGCAGCAGAAGGCGCTGCGGCAAAGCCGGGCGGAGGACTCGCCAGGGCATGTGTCCCGGGTCCCAAGCCCCGAAGATGTTGAAAAGTCCGACATTCTTAAACCATAAACCCTAAACCCCAAGCCCGAAACCCTAAACCCTAATCCCTAAACCCTAAACTCCCTAAACTCGAAGAAGGACTTCAACAAGAAGCTCGCGGCTGAGCTGCAGATGCAGGGGGGTGAGAAGTATGCACAGCTTGGCTCGCTCGTGTACCGACAGGCCTGGCCAGTCTATACTTCAGCCGCACGGGTTTAGGGTTTAGGGTTTAGGGTTTGGTTTAGGGTTTTGGGGTTTAGGGTTTAGGGTTTAGGGTATTTGTTCTTTGCTTTTCATTCTGTACTTGATCATGTGTTGTGCTATCTTGTCATTTGTTACTTCCTGTTTGGTCAAAATGTTAGTTGCTGTTGTTTGTGTGTTGTTGCTTGTGGTTTGTTAATTATGCGTTTGCCATTACTTCTTACTACTGTTTATCATCATCTTTGATGATTTATGATTAATTACTTGTTGTTGATTGATTCCTGGTCGTTCATGGTTTTCCTTTGTTATCCTTAAACTGTTACGTATGATTACCATTTAGTTCGAGGGTAGTACTACTACCAATGTGACATGTCTCCAGTTACTAACATTTTGTTATTCTGAGTATTCCTCTTCTTCGTATATACCATTACCCTAAACCCTAAACCCTAAACCCTAAACCCTAAACCCTAAACCCTAAACCCTAAACCCTAAACCCTAAACCCTAAACCCTAAACCCTAAACCCTAAACCCTAAACCCTAAACCCTAAACCCTAAACCCTAAACCCTAACCCTACCCTAAACCCTAAACCCTAAACCCTAAACCCTAAACCGCATTCTCATCATAGCCACAACAATGCCTATGAACGGTACTTGGAATGTTCCCCCTTGTACTAACAGTCCTTAATCGGGATTATAGTACCCCGATTGTAATCCCTACTAAGGACTCTTAGTATACGGGGGAACATCCCAACCCAAAACCCTAAACCCTAAACCCTAAACCCTAAGCCCTAACCCTAAACCCGAAACCCTAAACCCTAAACCCATCTAAACCCTAAACCCTAAACCCTAACCCCTAACCCCTAACCCCTAACCCCTAAACCCTAAACCCTAAACCCTAAACCCTAAACCCTAAACCCTAAACTCTAAACCCTAAACCCTAAACCCTAAACCCTAAACCCTGAACTGCTCTACGCTCCGGACGAAGCCCCTGCGGCCAAGTCCCTGAAGGTGACGGGGGCCACGTCGGCTGCATGGAACCACCGAGTAGGCCCGAGCCTGCTTTCGTGCTATCTTAGGGTTTAGGGTTTAGGGTTTAGGGTTTAGGGGTTTAGGGGTTTAGGGTTTCGGGTTTCGGGTTTCGGGTTTAGCGTTAGGGGGTTTAGGGTCGGTTTAAGGTTTAGGGTTTAGGGTTCAGGGTTAGGGGAGACATGACGTCCCCGAACCCAACGACCCGACACCCCGCCTGCTGACCCCAAACCCAAACAGCCATGATGCCTGCCGCAGGCGAGGTATGGCCCTTCATGAAGGAGATCTCCTCGGATGGAGACGTCTCAACTGTAGACGCCACTTGACTGCATGCGCTAGTACCTCAAGTGGTCCCTGTTTCTAGGGCATGTAAGTAGACCGAACCCCGTAAACCCTAAACCCTAAACCCTAAACCCCTAACCCCTAACCCCTAAACCCTAAACCCTAAACCCTAAACCCCTAACCCCAAGCCCCTAAACCCTAAACCCTAAACCCTAAACCCTAAACCCTAAACCCGAAACCCGAAACCCCAAACCCTAAACCCTAAACCCTAAACCCTAAACCCTAAACCCTAAACCCTAAACCCTAAACCCTAAACCCTAAACCCTAAACCCTAAACCCTAAACCCTAGCCTATTGACAATGCTGCTGCTGAGGTCATCTTTCCCGCCTTCCCATTCTTCCTACATCTGGCCCCTGACTTCTTCAGGAAGCTGATGCTGCCTCTGCCATCCGGCGCAGCCCAGTTAGGGTTTAGGGTTTAGGGTTTAGGGTTTAGGGTTTAGGGTTTAGGGTTTAGGGTTTAGGGTTTAGGGCCCTATACCCCAAATCCTACACTCTGTCCTCTGAACCCTAAGCCCCTAAACCCTTAAACCCGGATAACCCTCAAACCCTAGAACCCTTCAACTCGACTCGCTAGAAAGCCGAGGCTCGTCTATTCTGTGAATGGCACCGCGCCGTATGGCGCCCAGGTCGCAGGTGTAGAGTTTAGGGTTTGGGTTTAGGGTTTAAGGTTTAGGGTTTAGCGTTTAGGGCTCAGGGTTTAGGGTTTCGGGTTTAGGGCTCGGGGATGTGAGGGCTTTGGGGCTTTGGGGGCCTGGGGTTCGTATGGTTTGGTTTTCAGTAAGTTTCTGCATTTTAGAGTTTTAGGGTCTGGGGAATTTGAGGCTTCGGAGGGTGTCTACGGCGACCAGGACCTACCTTGCGAGTTATCCCCGAAGTCCCGAAGCCCCGAAAGCCCTTAAGACCGGAAACCCAACCAACCTATGCGTCACAGCGGATCCAAGTGGTAGTGGCTACCCAAAACCCAAAACCCAAAACCCTAAACCCTAAACCCTAAACCCTAAACCCTAGACTCTAACCCCTAAACCCTAAAACCTAAACCCTAACCCCTAAACTCTAAACCCTAAACCCCGCAGGCATGGACATCAAGTACAACTTGTCCTGGGCGCGCCTCGGAGAGATCTGAATCCTTAAGCCCTTACACCCAGGGTTTGGGGTTGGGATTTGGGGCTTGGGGTCTGTAGGGTTCAGGGTTTGGGGTATGTAGGGTTTAGGGTTTGGGGCTTAGGGTTTAGGGTGTAGGGTTTAGGGTTTAGGGCTTAGGGCTGAGGGTGCCTAAACCCTAAAGCCTCGCGCGCCTCCGAGGCCGCACCACCTGGGCACTTGGCCGGTCTGCGACATTCCCAGCGACCAGCAGGAGCAGATGCCCGTGGAGGTGGGGCTTGGGATTGCAAGGGTCCTGAAGCCCTAAACGCCTAAAAGCCTCAACGCCTAAACCCTAAACCCTAAACCCTAAACCCTAAACCCTAAACCCTAAACCCTAAACCCTAAACCCTAAACCCTAAACCCTAAACCCTAAACCCAAAACCCAAAAACCCAAAAACCCTAAGCCTAGCAGGGTTTAGGGTTCAGGGTTTCGGGTTTTGGGCTTGGGGTTTGGGGTTTAGGGTCGCTCTCCAGGGATGCGCCGACAATGTTTTTGTGTACTCTTGGGCTCGGAATAGTTACTAATGGTCTTCCTTATGGAACCTTTATATAAGTACACTAAAACAACCCCAAAACCCTGTTTAAGGCCCCTATATTAGGTTGTTTGGGGTTTTGGGGGGGTTTGGGTTGAATTGAGGACTGAGAGCCTTAAACTAGATAGGGACTCTGACGATGGCCCTAAATGAGGGGTTACGAAAATAGGGGACCCGACCCCCCAAATAGTAGGATTCCCTTCTAAGAGGGACCCCAACAAGCGACTCGAGTTTGGGAAATCACACAAAAATTGGCACGTCATAGATGCCTGCATGAAGAGGCATGGAGCTCTGTGTGGAGCAGGAATCTGGATAAGGTGTTTTTGCGTGAAGGGTCTTGCGGGTGTGGGTCTTTGGGGTTTACTACGATTTGCTGAAGAACCGCTTCAAAAATGAAAAGTAGTCTTCCTTATAGGCGTAACATACGGATTGTTATCGTTGTGTTTTTGGGGTTCTTATGCAAACAGTGGTTTATGCTACCGCGTGGATTACCGTCAAGCAAAACGCGGGTTTTTTGGAGGGGGGGGGGGGGGGGGGGGGGGGGGAGGGGGGGGGGGGGGGGGGGGGGGGGGGGTGTGGGGGTTCACCATGCTCGACATGCGGGTGTAGGACTTTAGCTTTCGGCTTGAAGGCTTTGCAGTTAAAGTTTAGTGCTTTAGCTTTGGGGTTTATGCTTTAAGACTTTAGGGTTTAGGGCTTTAAGACTTTAGGGTTTAGGGCTTTCGCTTTGGGATTTAGGCTTTACACTGGACTCTTTTCCATTCAGGGTTCGGCCGGGGTTGCAGTTTGAGCGCCGAACTGCCTGCAACCCCGGCCGAACCCTGAATGGAAAAGAGTCCAGTGTTAGGCTTTAGATTTCGGGTTTAGCCATATAATATAAGACTTTAGGGTTTACGCTTTACCCTTTAGGACTTTACCTTTGGGGCTTAGCCTTTAAGACTTTAGCTTTGGGGCTTATAGCTTCGGATTTAAGTACTACCAAACATCCCACCGAGACATCCAATACTCCTAAGAATGCCAAAAATCCATAAAATTCAGCGTGTTTTGAAAACGCCTACTTTTCGCCACAAAAACACGGAAACACTGTAAATGCCAGTGTTTTCACTCCTCGCGACCTCATATCGCCCAACTCGTAATGTGACGCAGGTGAACGTGCAAAAACTCGAGGTTTTTAACAACTCCGTACAAACGGAGCATGTTTTTTTTAGGCTCACAGGCCTTGAAAAAAGTACAAAAAACCATGGGAAAAACACGTCTTTTCAAAAACAGACGTGTAATTCTACGACGGAAAACCATGCGGCGGGTGGTTTCTGGTCTAGGGTTTCCCAAGACATGCACCCCATTTTTGGCCGAATGCCCTCATCTCTCGGCAGGAGAGCGGAAACATGCTCATCATGATCACCGCCGTGTCGCAGAAGCTGGGGAACGTCGGATGGCTGGCAAGCCACCTGGCATCGAAGCCCTAAACCCTAAACCCTAAACCCTAAACCCTAGCCCCTAAACCCTAAACCCTAAAACCTAAACTCTAAACCCTAAACCCTATAAGCCCTGACCCCGGATGGTCGACGGCCGCTTCGCGTTAGGCCTGGGCAACCTGGTAGGAGCAACCGGCCGCGCGAGAAGTTAAAAGCAGCACGGTGTCACATCCGGTCGAGTAGACATCCATACGCCAGGAGGATCAAAAGCAACGGTAAATATTTAGCTGCTAGTATTCATTCTACGTACACACAGACATACCGACATATACCTCCCTACCTACATACATACACATACATACATACATACATACATACATACATACATACATACATACATACATACACATATTTGTAAGCACATGCTTTGGGTGGCTTCCTGAATGCGGCCCCTTGTAGACAGCTATCGTAGGATTCCTCCTTTAAACCAACCCACAAACCCTTAAGCCGAAGCCTGAAATCCAAAACCCCCCAAACCTACCCTACAAACCCTAAACTCCAAACCCTTAACCTTAACCCAACCCCATATGGGCATTTCCCAAAACAGGGTAGAATCCCCTTCAAGGGACACCCAAAAAGGGTACCCCTGTTTTTTGGAACCCCCCCCCCCCCCCACAGCTCGGAGTAAGGTTACTGGCCGCTGCTAAAGACTTGGGCCGACTTCCTCGTGGCCTCCTTGCCCCGGGCCCACATTGCTTGGTCTTTCGTTCTCAAGTCTGGTTTCAGGGTGTACTATAGGGGTCGGAAGAAGTACTATACTATTGTTCCCTTAGATGGTCCCTTATATATTGTTTTGATTATAAATAAACCGTTATAAACCCCAAATTCTTAAGGCACCTCTATTCGGGGTCTGGGCGTTCAGGGTTTAGGAGGGGTTGAGGGGGTTTGGGGCTGATTGCGTTGAGGGTTGACGGAAATCATTGATGCGTTTTTTTTGGGCGGCTCGACACCTTCCCATGAATAGCATGCCTCGGCGCACCGCAAGGGGTGCCATCGTCACGTGCGCCCCGTGCGCCGAAGCAGCCTGCAACGCAGAGAGCCCAACACTCCTTCATTAAGGAATCCACCTTAATCCATTAGCAAAAGCCCCTAAACCCTCAACCCTAAACCCCAAACCCTAAACCCTAAACCTGTATTCCCAATTGAGGGGTTTCGGGCTCCGGAAACCTGCAATGTTGAGCCTCCGTGCCAACCAGGCCCCCACATCGGACCCTGCCGCAATTGAGGCCGGATCCTGGAAACCAGCTGTGCACCGACGACTTCGAGGCCTGTGACTGTTGATTGCTTTGGCCCTGAACACCCCCCCAAAAAACCCTGAAACCCTAAAGACCTTAACACCGTCAAGACCCGAACACCCTCTGTAAAGCCCCGAAAGCCCCTAAACCCCAGGCTCTTAACCCTAAAGGTTCCACAGCCTTTGGAGAGGTTTTGCGGCTGATGGATGTTGGAGAATCGAGTTTCGCGCAGGCTTTTTTTGGGGGTCTAGGAGGGCCTGTAGGCTGCTGGGGTTTTGCAGGGAATGTGTGCTCGGTTCTGAGATCAGAGAGCCATGGAAAGCCGTAGCTGACCTGTATAAACTCTGAAACACCGAACCCTACAACCCCCTACGCCCTGAATCCCACAGCCCCTGAACGCGCAATCCCTAAAGCCCCAGGCCCTACACCCGAGACCAGTTGTGTGTTTCAGGGTGTTGGGCGTTTTTTGGGGATCCGTAGGCCTAAGCCCTAAACCCCAAACCCCAAACCCCAGACCCCAGACCCCAGACCCCAGACCCCAAACCCCAGACCCCAAATCCCAGACCCTAAATCCCAGACCCTAAACCCTAAACCCTAAACCCTAAACCCTAAACCCTAAACCCTAAACCCTAAACCCTAAACCCTAAACCCTAAACCCTAAACCCTAAACCCTAAACCCTAAACCCTAAACCCTAAACCCTAAACCCTAAACCCTAAACCCTAAACCCTAAACCCTAAACCCTAAACCCTAAACCCTACCAGACCCCCCCCAGACCCAGACCCCACCCTTAAACCCTAAACCCTAAACCCTAAACCCTAAACCCTAAACCCTAAACCCTAAACCCTAAACCCTAAACCCTAAACCCTAAGCCCTAAACCCTAAACCCTAAACCCTAAACCCTAAACCCTAAACCCTAACCCTAAACACTACACTTCAGGTGTTGGGGGGCTTTTCAGAGAGTTTGCAGCCTCCAGGGTTGTAGGCGTCCATCCGTGATTTCGAGGAGTTACCTAGGGGCTTAGGTTTCATGCTTTTAGGTCGCGAGGGGTTTAGGCTTAGGGTTTGGGGTTTAGGGTTTAGGGTTTAGGGCTTAGGGCTTAGGGCTAGGGCTTAGGGATCTTGGGGATCTTAGGGCTTCGTGCTTTTTTCGGAGGGGCCGAACCCGCACAACGTCAACCTGGCAGCTCGCCCAAGTTGGTCTGTTGGGAGCTTGGGGTTAGGGTTTAGGGTTTAGGGTTTAGGGTTTAGGGTTTAGGGTTTAGGGTTTAGGGTTTAGGGTTTAGGGTTTAGGGTTTAGGGTTTAGGGTTTAGGGTGGGCACTCTAGGGGCCTGAATAATTGGAATAGGGTCTTGGGTTGTTTTAAGCATATTTTTGGGGACTACAAGGGAATACTGTTAGTAATTATTTCCGGCCCCTAAAGTACCACCCCACTATAGAGGCTAACTGAGCCCTGAACCCACCTGAAAAGCCCTCCCCAGCCCGAAATAAGGCACAACTATTCCTCGAGCAGGTTTACGTTGGGCCTTATGTCGAGTTGGAGAGTTCTGCTTGCGTGTCGGTGGCAGGCGCTAGGCTATGTAGAGCCGCACTGGATATACATTTTCCCTTATTGGGGTCAAAGAGGATCCTACTCAGGAATCTTTTTTCCGAGGGTTTTAAGGGCCTCCATTAAGATGCAAGGTACTCTAAAGACGTGAGTTCGTGAAGTTTAGGGTTTAGGGTTTAGGGTTCAGGGTTTAGGGCTTAGGGCTTAGGGCTTAGGGCTTAGGGCTTAGGGCTTAGGGCTTAGGGCTTAGGGTTTTGTTTAGGGGTTGGGAGTCAGGGTCCCTAAACCCCGAAACCCCTTGATCTTATTCTACACCCACAAACCCTCAACCCGAAACCCCTGTGTAGCGCATGGTCGACTCCCAAGCTATGTAGTAAGGGGTTTGGGGGCCCTCTAAACCGAGGCCGGCAAAGGAATCGTCGGCCTGGCAGCCTACGCCGAGTTGCTGAAGCTCGCGGGGCAGGCAGGTCTGGGGCTTGGGTTTGTAGAGTTTAGGGTTCAGGGTTCAGGGTTCAGGGTTCAGGGTTTAGGGTTTAGGGTTTAGGATTGATAGGATTCAAGGCGTAGGGTTTTAGAGTTGGGGCCTGAGTTGGGGTTCATGGTTTGGTTTGGGTGAGTGTACATCTTTTGGGCCCCCAAACCCGAAACCCGAAACCCGAAACCCCAAACCCCAAACCCCGAACCCCGAACCCCGAACCCCGAACCCCGAACCCCAAACCCCAAACCAACCCCCAACCCCAAACAAACCCCAAACCCTTGACCCTGACCCTAAACCCCAAACCCCAAACCCTGAGGGGCATGCTTTCCGGTTTCGTAACCTACCCTAGCTGTAAGCTCGCCCGAAAAGGAGTGAAGGGTTGTTAAAAAAAAAAAAAACCCAAACCCCAAACCCCAAACCCTTGACCGTGAGCCCAAAACCCTAAACCCTAAGCCCTAAGCCCTAAACCTAGACCCTTAACCCTAAGCCCTAAGCCCTAAGCCCTAAACCCTAAAGCCTAAACCCTAAACCCTAAACCCAAAACCCCAAACCCTAAACCCTAACGCCTAAACCCTAAACCCTCAACCCTAAACCCTAAACCCTAAACCCTAGACCCTAGACCCTAGACCCGAACCGACTCTCGCTCCAGGGGGCAGAGTCCGCGAAATACCGCCAGCTTGCTGAAGCGCGGCTGGAGGGCTAGGGTTTAGGGTTTAGGGTTTCGGGTTTCGGGTTTCGGGTTTCGGGTTTGAGGGTTAGGGTTTTGGGTTCAGGGTTTAGGGTTTAATTAGGACCGGGAGTAGGCCCTTATTTCCTTTTTTTTGGGGTTGGGGTTCCCTTATAATCCCCTCAAATCCAAAAAAGGGTACCCTTTTCTTAGTTTTCGGGTCTAGCTAACGGCTCGAAGCGAAGAGGTGTTGAAGCAATAGCCCTAAACCTTCACTGGGGAGACTTTTACTGGTAGGGTTTAGGGCTTTTGGTTGAGGGTTTAGGGTTTAGGCTAATTTCAGGCGGGCATTTTACCTCGTATGTCACCTACCTAGCCTGTAAACAACCCTCGCTGCTCTTATACGATGCCCCTCATATCATAGAAGCTTTATCAACGTACCCCCCTCCTCCCCGCGTGGGAACTCCCGTCTTTGAAGTTGTCCTTGGCTTTATCAAGGTTGCATGGAGACTAGGCCGGGCCTCGGGATATGTTTTTGTCTGTTTATGTATTGTTGTATCGTCTATTTTTGCTTGTGAGTATGCCTACTGTTACCATTGTTGCTATTCTTTTATTGTTGTCGCTATTGTTGCTATTATTGTTGTGGTTGTTATTATGTTTTGTATTTGTTTTTCTGAATTTGTTGGGTTGGGGAATCGTTGTCATGGGTCATGTAGTAGGGTTTAGGGTTTAGGGTTTAGGGTTTAGGGTTTAGGGTTCAGGGTTTCAGTCCTCAAGCCGAGCCTGGAGCCGATCCGGCCTCCCCCCTGAATGGATTATGGTAAGCCTTAGGGTTATTTTTCTGAGTTGTAACCCTAATCCCTAAACCCTATGAGTTGTAGCCCTAAACCCTAACCCTAAACCCTAAACCCTAAACCCTCAACCCTAAACCCTACAACCCCAGGGGGGGGCGGGATCAAGATCAAAGCCAGCTGCCCGGCCCGAGCCAGCACTGAGGCCTAGGCGAACCGACCCCCTCAACCCCTAAGCCCTAAAACTTTGGGATGTTCTCCCTTGTACTAACAGTCCTGAATAGGGATTCTAGTCAGGCAACATCCCAACCCAAACCCTTTTACTTCTTCTCTTGAACCGGACACGTAACGCATGCAGAGATCCTGAAATCGCACCCCCCCCCCCCCCCCCCCCCCCCACAAGCAGCTTCTGATGTCCGTTGACAGGGGTTCGTGAAAGACTGGCTGCACGGAGCGGCCGATGGCCAGTCTGGCATGGCTTGGCTGGGAGTCTGGCAGGCTGAAGGTGGCAGGCGAAGATGGTTCGGGGTGTCAGGGTTCAGGGCTTGGAGCGAGACCCGACACTCTGCATCCTAACCCTAAACCCTAAACCCTAAACCCTAAACCCTAAACCCTAAACCCTAAACCCTAAACCCTAAACTAAAGCCTAAAGCCTAAAGCCTAAAGCCTAAAGCCTAAAGCCTAAAGCCTAAAGCCTAAAGCCTAAAGCCTAAAGCCTAAAGCCTAAAGCCTAAACCCTAAACCCTAAACCCTAAACCCTAAACCCTAAACCCTAAACCCTAAACCCTAAACCCTAAACCCTAAACCCTAAACCCCACCCCTTGAATCCTCAACACACGCACCCCGAGTCCCAACAGTAATTATAGAAAATAAGAAAGGGCTGCGTATTCATTTTTATCCTGATGGTTTTTTCTTTATTCTTTCTGGGCCGGCCAAGGATTTACCAGGGTTTTTCGGGGTTTATTGTGCGGGTTTCTTCACATGATTCAGAGGGTTCCATTCCTTATTCCACGTGTTGGCTAACTGCGTTGAAAGGCCTAGCAGGCAGTCACCAAGTGATCGTTTGCCGCACCATTGGGGACCTCCCACTTGGTTGGTACACAACCTTGGCCATGGGTCAAAAGCCCTGCATCGGTGAGAAGCTCAAAGTGGAAGCGAGACGCCTTTCCGACTAACTGCCCGCAGCATCCTTTTCTTTCGACCGAAGTCAGGTACTGCTCGTAAGCCCGCCGGCTGAAGCGCGACTCCAGTGTCGTGGCATGCGAGGACTCCAAGGCCGTTTTGTTCCGGTGGCACTCGAGGCACAGTGCCTGGAGATTCTGGGCCTGTGCGGCGAAGGACTGGTGCACGGGAACGATGTGAGCCAACTCGCACATGGTTGCGGTGATGGGGGCCGCGCAGAGCTAGTGCTGATAGTCCTGCTCCGAGAGCAGGGCTTGCCGAGATCCGGGCGGATCGCGGCGGGCCTCGAGAAGGTGAAGGAAGACCTCGCTCGCCGCGCCCGCCAGACGCTGCCCGTAATAGGGGAGCCCCGTCCTTGGGGCAGAAGATGGGTGCGGGGAACTTTGGCATGGGCCAGGCTGTTCTTGCGGCGCCGCACCACGTCTATACTGTGGCAGATGTGGTCCGGCTTGTGGCAGTTGACGAGCGGCGGGAGTCGGGGCAACATGGGCGGTAAAAGGTGGGAATGATGGTTCATGGTGCGATGGGAATGGTCTTCCATGCTGCGCTGGTTTTGCAGGGGTAAGGGTGCGACTTGCAGGGCATGGTGGGGGGGCGGGGGGGGGGGGGGGGTGGGGGGGGGGTGGGGGGCTTTGGGGGGGGGTGGAAAAGTGGTGGGAATGTTTGGCGGACGGTGGCGGGTAGTGGTGGGCAGTGGGGTTGGTGGGCGGTAGAGAATGGTGGACGATGGGAGAATGGCGGAAATGGCGGGTACATGGTGGCAATGGTGGCGCGTAGTGATGCGAATGGTGGGATTGTGGGGTGGACGGCAGTCTTATCCCCCCGGGTTTGGCAAATTCTCACGGCGTTCCCTTTATTTCGAGGGTGTTTTTTCTTACTCCCCCCCCTCCCCGCCCCTCTGATGTCGACCCACCTACCACCATTACCCAACATTTCCGCCCAGCAATTACCCACCAGCTCGCCATTCCTACCGTTTCAATTTCCCACCATGCTGACCAGCTCGCCATTCCCACCATTTCCAATATCCACCACCCACCATTCCCCACCAATCCCCGACCATTCCTATCATGCCACCATTATTCTTCCCGGTCCCACACACACCCACCATTACGGTTACTCACGACACTATTCCCACCATTGCCTGCCATTCCCGCCATTCCACCCCGCCATTATCCCAGTCAGTCCCATCCATACCCGCCATTAGTCACCATCCTGCTTTTCCTCACCATTCCTGACTCCTGCCACGCCTCGCCAGTATTCCTTGCAATCGCACCCTTACCCCAACTACCCATTCTCGCATTCCCCTCTGACCTGCCATGTTCCCCATTGCCCACCATATTGCCGCCATCCCCGCAATACCCACCATCGCACGCCAGCGCTCACGATACCTGAAACACGCCCCTGCACACCACTCCCAGCATTCCATGTCCGAGCTGCGCGCCCAAATGGAGATAGCACTTTGCAGCCCAACTGAGTGTTCACGTCGTAAAACATGGCAAAAATAGCGTTCGTTCTGCCCATTCATGAGCGACTGCAAAAATGATTCCTCGCGAGTCGGGGTGAAGTGGGCGGGGATATGGAAAGATATCCATACTTGCGCCACTCGAAACTGCAATGAAACCAACCAGCTGCAACAGACGCCCAGCAGTGGCATAGGCCTAAGGTGGGCGTTTTTACAGCAACGTCCATGGATTAAACCCAGAGGAAACTGCGCAGCCATTTGGGCTCTGTCGACCAAAGGTCATCAATAGGGTGGCGATAGAGGATGCAAACGCTTCCGACGCTTCTTCGGCGCCTTGGCTTTGGCTAAGCCACCACTCTTCGGCTCTAGGTTAGGGTTGTTAGGCTTGTTTTCAACGAGATCAGGCATCAACCGTCGTTTGTGTCTGTTTGTCTTCCCATGCGGATTGCTCCGAGCCGGCCCATTGATGATCGTCCTCGTGAGGCATCCGGGCGAAGAGCACAAAAGTGCCGAGAACTTTGAAAGCCCCGAGGACTTCATTACGGGATCTTAAGACTTAAGAGTTGGGCAAGACTTTCTCTGAACGCAGCGCACCTCCATGTTTTGGCCTTTTCTCATTACAACAGCAGGCATCTTCATGATTCTCAGTTTGTTGCACTGCCTAGAGTGGCCTTAGGCCTTCGTGCAAGCCGGAGCCCGTGAGCCCGGTGGATGGTTGCGAGGTCCGTCAAGGGCCGAGGACGGGCAGCCGATCAAAGGCTGGCCTTGCTTCCGGCTCAGTCTGTGGGCCCCTGGAGGGGTTGCCTTGTGCCTTTCAGCATCGGTTTCCTTGTTGGGTTCCTTAGCTTCGGAGTGTTGTTGTGTGCTCTGTAGGACGTATGAGGCAGACGTCCATAATCCTGTTCTTTTCCGGTTGCAGCACACTCCTTTCAGCCGGGATGAACAATGCAGCAGACGCACACTCCGGCCCTTTGACGGATAGTGAGGCTCCTGACGTAGACGGCATTGAGGTTCCTTGCCACCTCATGAATTGGACGGGACTTTCCCACGCAGATGCTGCTCCGTGTTTCGCATCAGGAACACCGGCTGTCGTGCCGTCCGGCACTCCGGCTCCGTCTCGAGTTAGGATGTGCGCGCTTCTTGAGCAGATGAGTGGCTTATCTCAGCATCTCTTGCGTTTGTGCACAGATACTGATTTGCGTTCAGTAGCGCATCTGTGTCAGGAAGCCCACCGCGACGCTGGTCTCTTGCCGTCAGATCGTGCGCATATTCACTATCTAACTGCAACCCCCCCTGAGCAGGTCACCTGGGGTCTTGAAGCACCTATTTTAGGACACGACACTTCCTTTCGGGCTCCTGATGCCACGTTTGGTGGCCAGCCTGCCGCTGAGGTCCATGTGTGTCTGCAGGCTCTGGAGGCTAGACTAAGTCAGGTGGAAGAAGTCTTAGGCTTGGTCACGACAAGCAGCAGCCCGCCCATCCCTGTGCTGGCGCGGCTCCGGGCTCTCGAACTCCGCTTCCCTGCAGCTTCTAGGCCCTAGGTGGTCGCGACCTTGGTGACACGTGGCGCTTTGCTTGTCTCCATCACGTTGATGTACAGTTCGCAGTTTTTGAGCGAGGATTTTGAAACAGGCATGTCCAGGCTTGATCTAAAATCAGCTTCGCGATTGCACCGTTTGTATGTTTCAGGACTGCAAGCTGTGGTGTGTGCAGTCTGGCATGCTTGGCAAGCACTGTCCGAATGCGTTCGCCTCCTTGTCTTAGGTTAATCGCACTTAGTTCTGATTTGCCAGGGCCGCTTGAGCCATGTTCGTGGATCTTCGTGGGCAGCGCCTTTGCAGGGCCTTCCAGCAGAGAGGACGTGGTATGCCATGTCAGTTTGCGAGCGCACACGTGTGCCACGAAGGCTGTGTGGAGCTCACTCCATTCCATCTTTTGCAGCTGGGACATGTGTCCCGCCTGGACCTTTGCAAAGAGTGGCTGAGCATGGGGCAGCATCACGCAGATTTGATGCAGCCGTGGAGTGAGTGTCACTATGATGACCCTCCGGGTCCCTCTCTACCTTCAGCTGAGCGCTCCTGGGCCGCGGTCTATGCAGATCTGACTGCCTCCGCGAAGGCGGCCTTGGCAGGGGGTCTGAGTACCTGTACAGTGACACGATCCACGGAGCTGCGCACCTCGTACCCAGCTGCAAGGTCACGCTCTCGTGACCATGATCTGTAGCATGCTATGCTTTCTTGTCACGAGTGGAAGCAGAGTGCAACAATCTGGGTTGTCTGCTTGCCTCTTTCCGTGAGTCGCAGCTTGTGAGCGCAGGGAGTCTTTCCCCTCAGAAGTGCTCGTGCTCTGCTGGTAGCCATTTCATTCAGTGAAGTGGCCTTGTAGGTGCAGCCGCCGATTCAGGCTCGGGGGTTAAATTGAGCGCTTCTGGTTCTCAATGGCTGTAGCACTGCTGTGGCGTAAACCATCGTCGGCTGGTGGTTTTCTTAACTCAAAAAGGGTTGCTGTTTCCAGACTCGATGTAGTCTTGGAATGTATAAGGGCAGCTCATAGGAAGCAATCCGGTGTTTCCCTCGAAGTACAGGCATACTGGTGCCTGATAGTCCCCAAGTGGTAGTCTCTTGAGTTTTCCCCCTTTTTGGGCAGGCCAGGATGAGAGGTTTTCGAAAGAGGTGGAGCAGTGGAGCAGAACAGAGGAACCAGCTGATCAGGACCAAAGCTCACCTCGGCATGTGGCGACCGGTCCTCGACCGAGGAGTACAGAGCCAAATTTTTCGAGGGAGTTGCGGGCGAGAGTGGAGGCCTCTATTGTATCCTATAGGCCGCCCTTGAATTTCCCATGGCAAATCGGGAGAATGGCGCCAATATTCGGTTACCGACCCACACTTCCTCTCTTCAGGTTGCCGCGTCCACAGCCCATGCCGGTGATTAGACCTTCATCGGATCAGGTACAAGTTCTGGGTGGTTCGCGCCACCACGTGCATCAAGCTCAGAGGATCCGAGCGTCTGGTCCGGAGTCTCAGGACGACAGAGCCAGAGCCCTGAAGCGTTTCAGAATCTTGCTGTTGTTGGATCCCCCGGCGACAAGAACTGGACGACAGATGCTCACGGTAGTTGGGACGCATGTTGATGTCGAGCAAGCCCTTAAGGTTCTTTCAGACACTTTGGAACCGAAGGCAACTGGAACCTTGACCAAAAGGGTGTCCTCGCTGTGGTCATACGCAGAGTTTCTGTCAACTCACGGTGTCAAGTCACCCTTTTCCGCGGGTGAGCCCACCTTATACAAATATCTCTGTTGGCTCCGGGACCAGAAGCGAGGGGCCACCTCTGGCACCTCGACATTGGAGGCGCTCAGGTTCTCAGACAGCATGTTCACATTTTTATGCATAACACTGAGTGAACTGGACTCGCCGAGGGTCAAAGGAGTGGCGCACTCACTCTTCATGACTAAAAGAAGACGGAGTCCGGCGCCTCTCATCCCAGTGGCGGTTGTGCGTTTCCTTATTGGATTGGTCTTGGACACGTTGCGGAAAGACCGTGAGCGCACCATAGCGGGCCAAATCCTAGCATGCATTTTCCTCGTGGGAAGGTGGTCTGATTTGAGAAGGGCTGTGAATTACAGGACCTCCGTTGCAGGAGGCATCTGCATTTTGGAGGCCGATGCCAAAGGTCACAAGGCAGCATACTCCAAGGAGTTACAGTTGGAATTGCTGCCATTTTTGGGCATAGGTGGCTGGCCAGCTTCACAGCCTTGGGCGACGGTCTTCCTGGAGTTGCGCCTCAAGTATGGCATTCAGGGAGCCCTTCCTTCTTGGAACGACTCCAAGCAGCAGTGGGCAGATTATGACATGTCCACTTCCGAAGCAACAGGCTGGCTTCGGGAGATGGCCGAAGAGGTTTGCGACACAAGTGTGGCAGTCACGCTCCGTGCTCACAGCGCCAAGGTCACACTTCTAAGTTGGGCAGGAACATGTCCACTCTTCACGCGTGAAGAAAAGACACTTCTCGGACATCACACAGAGCCCACTACGCGCTCAGCAACCACGTATGATCGCAACGCCTTGATCCGGTTGCATGCAAAAGTCCATCGGATGTTGGAGGACATCGGTGAGGAACGTCAAGTCCCAGACGCTTCTGCAGCAGAGCAGGTGCGCACACTAGTACAGCCCAGGGACGATGCATTGCCCGATGTGGAAGGATCAGAGGTGGTCCAGGATTCCTCCGATGACGAGCAAGGCCCTCTTGGCCTTATTCAGGGTGAGCATCGTGCTCCTGTGCCTGACGCAAATCTTCATGAGTGGGTCCAGCATAAGTTAAGTTCCATGGTTCATGCTAAGTCTTCTGATACGCCACGGAAGTTAGCCTGTGGCCGCATGCTTTCTTGCAATTTCCACGATGTGGAAGCAGGACAATTGGATGTACACCAGACTTCCTTTTGTGCCCAGTGTTTGGCTACACGCCAGCTCGCTGCAGGCGTGTAAACGCTTGGAGCACACTGGCTTCAGCCGTGCTTCTTGTACGGTGTTCGTTTCAGCGACGCATCCCAGAAAGTGTTACTGCAGCTTTGTATGTGCAATGCATCTGACCGTCTTGCATGTGCTGGCCATTACCTGCCAGGCCAGTCACCGAAGACGCATCTACACGTGTCGCAGTTTTGTGGACAGGGAGTCTAGAGCTTTTGTTCTTTGCAGCCATGGCCTTGGACTCAGAAGCTACCTTTTGGGCCAGATGTGATCAACTGGGCATGCCAGAGGCCATACAGCAAGAGTTAGAAGCGGGCGGCATCAATTCGTTCGCGACTTTAGCCTTCTGCACCCCAAATTCCGGGAACGCTGGAGTTGACGACCCAGCGCTCATGGCGCATCTGCGCGGCCTGCTGGCTGAGAATCCCACTCCGCAAACCATCACTATGTTCCGCCGCCTAGCTTTTGAGGCTCAGGCCTTGGCAATGCAGGACCTGAAGTCCAAATTGGAACGCACGCACGACTCAGAGCCCAAGGTACTCCCGCTGCAGGAGAAGCTCGAACGCATCCGGCGTCAGCAAGCAAGGCTTGGAGGGCTGTCGTTCACTGCACACAATCAGCCCTCGCATGCGCTGATTGACAGGGCCACGCAGCAGTTTGATGATGGGGTTTTGCTTTACATTCCCTTAGCAAAGTGTGCTTCCCGCTACGCTGAGTCTTTGTGTGAGAAAGCACCGGCAAGCCTGGTTTGGGCAGCCGCCTAAGCCGATCTGCATGAAGTTCAATTTGGGCACATGTCGCGCCAGCCATGTCAAGCCAGGACAAAGGTGCAGCAACGGTTTCCATGTGTGCTGGAAGTTGCACTGTCATCGCCCCATGCCAGCCACTGAGTGCCTCCACAAAGAGTGACTAGGGCTTCCGACCCAGACTGGGGACGTCCTCCGTACGGTGTCTCCAGCAGAGAGTTTTGCTCAGGAGCTCTTGCAGCTAGACTCCATTTTCCCCGCACAGCTTGTCCAGCTGCTAGATTTGCTCCCTGTAGAGATGCAAGCCGTCTCTCGTTTTTCCGCTGCCACCGCTCCTGATAAGAACATGCAGCCGCATGGGTTTTATGCAGGGGCATCTCAAGGCTTGAATGGCTCAGTGTCTCTCAAGCCCTCTAGTGTTCATTTTCCTCTGACAGTCCAGGTCTTCACTGCCTTCCTCCGTGATGTTGACCCGGCTCACTCTTTCTCTTCTTTTGTTGTCTTGTCCAACGTGAGAGCGCCAGCGCATGTAGACCAGTTGAACGACCCTGCTTCTCTATCATTAGTGCTTGCTCTTACCCCCTTCCAAGGGGGCGAGATTTGGCTTGCTGACCCCTGCGGCCCAGTGCAGCAGGATACCCCACAAGGTCCCATGCAAGGTCGCCTGCACTCCCTACACAAGGGACCCCTCAGGTTCAAGGCTCACATGTGCATGCATGCGGTTCGCCCCTGGGAAGGTCGCAGGGTTGTGTTGGCTACGTACACCGTGCGTAGTGTTCACTCCATTGCACCGGATGACCGCCTGCGCTTGAAGGCCCTAGTCCCACCATTCCCCCCCTTCCCGCCACTACCGGCCATTCCCCACCAACTACCACTCCCACCGTTTCCATCTTGAACCAATTGCCCAGCATTCCCAATGCTACCTTGTTCTGCAGGGTGGATCGTGGAAACTGAACTCCTCAATCTGCCAAACCCCTAAACCCCTTTTTGGACTCGATAACCCCCCCCCTCTTCCCCGGAGTGCCCAGGCTACGAAAAAGAACCCGTAGAATAAACTTAAACACCATCGGATTAGGATGGAGGGCCCTGAGGCCCGAAAAAAGAACCGGCAGAATATGAATACAAACCATCACCGACAGAGACTAAGCAAAAACACCCCGAGAATAATAAACAAACCATGCCCAATAAGAAATAAGTCGTTTCGCAGCGCCCCGCGGGTTCTTCGGAGTCACGTCGTACAGATTGGGATGTTCCCCCTTCCTCAATAGGGATTATAGTACCCCCCGATTAGAATCCCTATTTAGGCCTCTTAGCATGCAAGGGAAAACACAACGCATAACAATACCAAAATAGGGATCATAGTACCTTACTAGGATTATCGTACCCCCGTTTATAATCCCTAATCCCTAACCCTTAATCCCTAAACCCTACCCTAAACGCTAAACCCTAACCCCTAAACCCAAAACCCAAAACCCAAAACCCTAAACTCCCTAAAGTGCCAAAACCCTAAACCCTAAACCCCCTTAAGGCCTTTTACTACCAAAGGCAGAACATCCCATCGCATAGACTTTGAGCTGCCAGGAGGCCACTTCCGCAGGCAGTACGACCTTCCCGGGACATGGTCCCAGAGACCCGGCAACCCAGCATTTCTGGGAGGATCCAAAAAAGTTAGATTGCTTTTAAGGCTTCCTCTTCAGGCTTCCTAAGAATGACCCAATAGTAGGAATGATAGGGTACTATTTAGGGGTGGATCCTCCCAGAGACCCGGCAAGAAGTTTCATTCCTGGACCTTCTTGCGGGGCACGTGCTCGCAACTTTGCTTGGTTCGTCATCTTTAGGAAAGGCCCTCGAAACATGACTTAAGCAGGGTTCTGAGAAAGAGCTGCTAAGTCATAGACTTTTTCAGCCCTGCAGATTTCCGACTCCCGCTGAAAATCCTTGCGCCATCCTTCCCCTAAACCCACCAGGACCAGCAAGAGCTAAGTGCCACAATCCCCCGTCCAGTCGCTTGCACTTTTCTGGCCTCAGTCCTGGGGTAGAGCTGAGGGCCCTTAGGCAGCAATCCCCTCCCCCTCCTAGAATCAACCCACCGCTGAGTGTGAATATTAAGTCGGACCCAGAGCAGGCCCTTCTTGCCCATTCTTTTTTGGCTTAGGTTTTCTTATCAGCCGCCTTGCGTCACAGGTGGGAGTTGGGAGCGGCCCTAAACCCTAAACCTTAAACCCTAAGCCCGAAACCCTAACCCCGAGCCCTAAACCCTAAACCCCTAAGCCCTTCTTAGAACTCCGGCAGTACCGTTACGCCACTTTGTTTCTCAGAAATGAGGCCTCAAAAAGCAGGAACCCTTTTGATCAACAGGTTTTTGGGCAGCCTCATGCGTCGAAGCCCGACCTGCCTCCGGGTTTAGGGTTTGGGGTTGAGGGTTTAGGGTTTGGGGTTTGGGGTTTAGGGTTTGGGGTTTAGGGTTTAGGGTTTAGGCCAAATACCTGAATACGAACCCTAGATCCCCAGGAAGTACAACCTGGTGTGGCAGAAGGCGCTGAAGTTGCCGAGAGCCCTGCCTTGCTTAGGGTGTAGGGTTTAGGGTTTAGGGTTTAGGGTTTCGGGTTTAGGGTTTAGGGTTTAGGGTTTAAGGTTTAGGGCTTAGGATTTAGGGTTTGGGGTTTAGGGTTTAGGGTATATCCCGAACCCAACATTTCCACTTGGCCACTCGCACACGCACTGGGGACCTGGAGCATAGGAAGCTCGATGGTGCAAATCACCTTCATTGTCGCATAGGGCCCGCAAGACCCTGAACCCTGAAGCCTGATCCCTAAACCTTAAACCCTAAACCCTAAACCCTAAACCCTAAAGCCTTCAAGGGTGCTTAAAGCTGCAGGGCTATGAGGCTTCTCTTCATCACGGTGTCCCCTTTGGCACCTACATGTTTTCCGGTGTGCACTACAAGAAGCACCCAGAAAAGAGACCCTAAACCCCTGAGCTTAACCCCTAGACCCGAAGCTCTAAACCCAGACTAGGCCCACGACCCAAGGCGGAACCTACCACCCTTCAGCCCGAAGCGCTAAACCCTAAACCCTAAACCCTAAACCCTAAACCCTAAACCCTAAACCCTAAACCCTAAACCCTAAACCCTAAACCCTAAACCCTAAACCCTAAACCCTAAACCCTAAACCCTAAACCCTAAACCCTAAACCCTAAACCGCCCCTTGGCAGCTCAGGCCTCTTCCCTGACCTCGTCGTGACCTCAGAAAACCCTCAACACCCCCAGCAACACTCCTCTGCAGCACCCTCAGCAACACGTGCCCGGCGCTGCGCCCTCACCCCGTAAGCTAGAGTGTCTGCACCCCCCCTCTTCTCCCGGAAACCCCGGGCCCCCTTGTGTGATCAGATGGTTTCTTACTATTGTTCTACACCTTTGTAGTTATGCGGGACAGGCGAGACATGTCTGCCACGCATTGCTACAAAGGTTGCTAATATAGTTGCAGTAAAACAGAACAACCCGCAAACCAAAGCGTGAGGTGAAGGAAGAGTAAGGAAAGGAGAAACGAATAAGGGGGCTAAACATCCTTTTGAATGTTGGGGTCTGGGAGAAAACGAATGAGAGAGCAATGTTAGGAGAGGAGAGAGAAGAAATGAAGGAGGGGGTGATGATGAGACTCCCTAACCCCCCCGCCAGATCCCAAAGCCCTTCGCCGCCTTAGCCCTGTCTCCCTCAACTTAAGCCCTTAACATCTTGGAGTCCTCAAACCCTAAAGGCCCAAAACCCTAGACCCCAAGCCCTATCACCCCCCCCCCCCCGCCCCCAATAGAGTTTAGGGTTTAGGGTTTAGGGTTTAGGGTTTAGGGTTTAGGGTTTAGGGTTTAGGGTTTAGGGCACAACGACCCCCACCTCAGAGATGAGACAAGTGCCTCAAGCAATCCTGCAGACGTGAACCCTTAGCTGTAGACGCTAAACCTTTCTCTCCCAAGACCCCTGGTTGAGCACATGCCCAAATTGGCATGCCACAGCCCTACACCCTCAACCCTCAACCCGCAACCCTCAACCCTCAACCCTAAACCCGAAAACCCTTAACCCTCAACCCTCGAGCCTCAACCCTCAACCCTCAACCCTAACCCTAAACCCTGCCGCGTTGAAAGCTCGGAAGGGACCCTCCGGAGAAGTACCGATATTCCATTGTGCCGGCCCAAAGTGAAACGGCGCACCTCAGTTCTAAGACTTGGACAGGGTTCAGGGTTCAGGGTTTAGGGTTTAGGGTTCAGGGTTTAGGGTTAGTTTAGGGTTTAGGGTTTAGGGTTTAGGGTTTAGGGTTTAGGGGTTAGGGCCTAAGACCCCTAAAACCCCTAAGACCCCTAAAGCCCGAAGTCCCAACCCACCGAAGCCCCCGAAGATTCCAACCCCGGGGGTCGATCTGTCGAGGTCTTTGAGGAGGAAGCCAAGGAGTACGCGAGCCGTCGAACTTTGTCCTGACAGTGGATTTAGGGTTTAGGGTTTAGGGTTTAGGGTTATGGCTCCTCAAACCCTAAACCCTAAACGCCCTAGAAGGCCCTTGAGCTGCTTCCCAAGCTTCCCATGCCACATCCCGCCCACTCTCCGGGCATTCGAGTTTAGGGTTCAGGGGCTTGGTGTAACATAGGGGTCGGAATAATTACTAGTTAATAATGTTCCCCTCTGGTCCCTTTATCATTATACTACAAGCCTGGATTGAGGTGCTGGCAGCTGCAACCATGCCTCAGCTCCTCTTGCAACCCCAAAAGCTCCCAAAACGTCTTAAGCCCTAAGTCCCTGAACCCTGAACCCTGAACCCTAAACCCTAAACCCTAAACCCTAAACCCTAAACCCTGAACCCTGAACCCTGAACCCTGAACCCTAAACCCTAAACCCTAAACCCTAAACCCTGAACCCCAAGCTCTTCCGTGAAGCTTGGCCATCCAAGCTCCCGAAGGCCTAAACACCCAAGCCCTGTACCCCAGACCCCCCACCACCCCGGGGGGAGAGAAGGGCGTTTAGGGTTTAGGGTTTAGGGTTTAGCGTTTAGGGTTTAGGGTTTAGGGTTTAGGGTTTAGGAGATAGAGAGAGCAGAGAGCGCCCAGCGAGAGCGAGTGCGAGGGGGGGGAGGTCCACCTTGACCACAGTCGCTGGGAGCAGGCACGGCGGTCGATCAGCCAGGCTGGGCTGGGCCTCCGCTCCACTCAGGCCGATGCCCCTGCTGCTTACCTGGCCTCCATCGGAGGTTGTGCCGAACAGTGTGAGAAAATGGACTGCCGTTTTCCTGCCTGGCAGGTTGGCGCATTTCCTGAGGTGCAGCAAGCCCTGGAAGCGCTCAACTCTCAAGGGGCCGCTGCCATCACTGCCGACACAGCCCTTGCCCTTCGTCAAAAAGCGCTCACCGCTTCCCTGGATACTGCCAACTGGGAACGTCAACTCGCTTCAGCCACGCTGACTGAACGGGCATTGTTGCGTTCGGAGGCCGAGCCAGGGGCTAGAGCCTTCCTCGCAGCCGTGCCGGGCAGCGGCCGATGCATGGAGCCAGCAGCCTTTGTCGCCGAACTGCGCCAAAGGCTACACATGCCAGACGCACCAGCTGACGTGTGGTGCCCGCGCTGTGATGGCATTCTGGACACACATTCACACCATGCTGGTTTGTGTGCTGCCGGCGGCGAGCGAACTCTCCGGCACAACGCCCTTAGAGACATCTTGGCTTCCTGGGCTGGCAGGGCTGGCATGCAACCAGAGAAGGAGAAACCGGGGTTGCTTCTCCCTCAGCGACCCGACGACTCCAGCAACTCCAGGCGTAGGCCGGCTGACATCTTCTTGCCATCTTACCTCGGCACTCCTGCTGCACTTGACTTGGCCGTGACCGGCCCGCAGCGGCAAGGAGTTGTTGGGGAGGCGGCCCAGAAGAGCTTGGCAGCTGCCACGGCTTACGCCGACCTCAAGAAGGCACACCTTGACACAGCCCAACTGTGCCAGGCGCAAGGAGTCCGTTTCCTGCCCTTGGTCGCCGAAACCACTGGCGCATGGGAGCCGGAAGCGGGCAAGCTGATCGCGCAAGTTGTTTGTGCGACGGCTGTTCGAGAAGGGGCCAATCTGGCTGCTCTGCACGCTGAGCTCCTGCAAGAGCTGTGTGTGGCAGCTCGCAGCGCCCGAGCTCGGGCTGCCCTCAGACGCCGTGCTGAGGTTGCTGAAGAGGGGGCGCCTTCGGCAGCCAGTGCGGCTGCAACCCTTCTGGTCGCTGGCAGTTGAGGCCGCTGTAGACAGTCGGCTGCAGGCTGCGCTCGGGAGGACCCGGCGTAGGCGGAGGGGGCAGTTGGTGGGCCTGGCCGCGCCTTCTGCCCGTGCTCCGAGGCTTACGAGGCTGCGTTCGGGTGGACCCAACGTAGAGGGGGGGGGGCGGTTGATGGGCTCAGCCACGTCTTCGGCCCGCGACCCCACCAGCAGACATGGCTTGCTGGGCTTGCAGCCCTGTCCATATGGGGTCCCGGTAATTTCGCTCCCCTCAGAAGTAGGGGTGGACTGTACTCTAAAGCTGTCTGCTCACGCGTCGCGGCCGCTTTGAGCTTACTCACCATTTTTGTGTCGCGACAGGAGGGCAGATCTTGATTTTGCCTCGCTGAGTTTCGCAAGGGGCGCATGCGTATGTGCCACGGGATGCCAATGAGCATGTCCGCGGGGTCTGTGTGTGTTGCACTTCCCTTGTGCTCCCGAATGTTGGTGGTCCGACTCCTTCCCACTCCTTATGGGAGAAGTTATGTTAAGTACTCTTCCGTCCGTTCTTTTTTGTTTTTTCCTTGTTTTGGCTGGCGGCTAGGACCCTAAGCCCTCTTGAAAGACACCTCCGCGAACCCCAAAAGATCTACAACTTGAAGCCCTCTGAACCCTCAACCCTACACCCTAGACCCTTCTTGAACTCGGGTTACCAAACCCCAAACCCTAAACCCCAAACCCCAAACCCTAAACCCCAAACCCTAAACCCTACACCCGAAACTGGCCGAGCGCTTCAGGACAAGGCTACGGCATTCCGCTGGATGACCGCAGCTGGGTCGGATAGTTTGGGGATCGAGGGAAGGTAGGGGTCGCAGGCTTTTGGGGTTGAGGGTCTGAGCTGTCGATAGAGTCTTAGGCGTTCCGTATAGGGTTTAGGGTTTAGGGTTTAGGGTTTGGGGTTTGGGGTTTGGGGTTTAGGGTTTAGGGTTTGGGGTTTGGGGTTTTCGGGTCTAGGGGGGTTCTGGGCTTGGAGGTCTTCACGTGCTTTTGGGGTTTCGGGTTTCTGCCCTTCCTGCTGCAGGCTCCTGGCTTCGAGGGTCAGGGTCAGGGCTTCCGCTGTAGAGATGCGTATCCAGGCCCTTTGCAGCTCTTGGGGCCGCCGTTCCTGCATGTTTAGGGTTTAGGGTTTAGGTATAGGGTTTAGGGTTTAGGGTTTAGGGTTTCGGGTTCAGGGTTTAGGGCTCAGGGTGTCAGGGGGCTGCTTTTTTAGCATGTGATTGTTTTCGTTGCTGGGTTGGCCTCGGACTTCTACGAATGATGAATGGGTCTCAGCGGGTATGTCCATGACTCCTTGTACTTGAGAAGGTTCAGGGCTTTTCAAATTTAAACCTTAAACTCCACACCCTAAACCCTAAACCCTAAACCCCAAACCCCAAACCCCAAACCCTAAACCCCAAACCCCTAGTCTTTTCACCTCGAAGGTTCCCGCCTCCCCTGCGTTAAGGTCACAACTACACAAAAGCCGACTGGTCCATGTGGTCGGCGGCGTTCTCTAGCCAGGCTCACATGCGGGGGTTTAGGGTTTAGGAGGGGTTTAGGGGTTAGGAGGGTTTAGGAGGGTTTAGGAGGGGTTTAGGAGGGTTTAGGAGGGTTTAGGAGGGTTTAGGAGGGTTTATTAGGGTTTATTAGGGTTTATTAGGGCTTTAGGGGTTCAGGGGTTTAGGGGTTTAGGGGTTTAGGGTTTAGGGTTGAGGGTTCCTTTCAGGACTCGAGTGATTGTTGATTTTTTTGGGGCTGGAAGCACACTGCTGCCCTTGCTGTCCAAGGGCTCCGATAGGGCTGTGCAGAGTTCCTTTTGGGGTTTAGGGTTTAGGGTTTAGGGTTTAGGATTTAGGCTTTAGGGTTTAGGGTTGCAGGGGTGATGGGTGACTTGATTTGTGCACGATGCGCGGGCTTAGGTTTAGGAAGAGCAGCTCAAATGCCCATGTGTGGAGGTTGCGCCATGAAAGACGTGAGCGCCGGGCATAGTCTTCTGTAGGCTGCAGGGCTGAGTTCTAGGGCTTAAGGCTTAGGGTCCAGGGTTTAGGGTTTAGGGTTTAGGGTTTAGGGTCCGACCTCTGCTGCGCCTCACCAGTAGTTCCCCGGCAGGAGCACTTTCTGGCGGCCGTGGACGACCTGTGGAAGTTCGCAACCTCTACAGCAGATCGGGCACCCTTGACGGACTTCCGGCGGCACTATGGGCCACTTTGAGGGGAGCCCGAAACCCTGAACCATGAACCACAAACCCAAGCTTAGAGTTCAAGGAGTTTAACGGGTTTAAGGGGTTCATGGGGTTTAAGGGGTTTAAGTGGTTGAAGGGATTTAAGGGGTTTCGGAGATGTGGGGGACTTTATAAGGGGTTTTGAGGTTAACGAGTTTGGGAGGGCCTGCAGCAGGAGCGGGCCGCACCCTAGTGATTCCCACGCTGCATGCTGGGCACCCTGCAATCCTGAGCCCCAACAGCCGCCCTAGACCCTAAACCCTAAACCCTAAACCCTAAACCCTAAACCCTAAACCCTAAACCCTAAACCCTAAACCCTAAACCCTAGACCCTAGACCCTAGACCCTAGACCCTAGACCCTAGACCCTAGACCCTAGACCCTAGACCCTAGACCCTAGACCCTAGACCCTAGACCCTAGACCCTAGACCCTAGACCCTAGACCCTAGACCATAGACCCTAGACCCTAGACCCTAGACCCTAGACCCTAGACCCTAGACCCTAGACCCTAGACCCTAGACCCTAGACCCTAGACCCTAGACCCTAGACCCTAGACCCTAGACCCTAGACCCTAAACCCTAAACCCTAAACCCTAAACCCTAAACCCCTAAACCCTAAATCCTAGAGGAAAACTCCGTAACAGCAACTGGCGCGCCGTAAAAGAGGATCCTGCAGGTGGTAAGAAGGAAACCAGAGAATGGTGTAACGACAACTGGCCAGGCTCGTAACTGCTGAGAGCCGGTTTAGGGTTTAGGGTTTAGGGTTTAGGGTTTAGGGTTTAGGGTTTAGGGTGTAACCGGTACTGCTGCTCCTGCCGTACTCTGGTTCTCTTCTTCAGTTCTCTTCTAGGGTTTGGGGTCTGGGGTTTAGCGTTGAGAGTTTAGATGCCGAACCCGAAACTCGAAACCCGCCGTAGGGTTTCTGTTGCACGTCTGCTGGTGGTTGTTGCAGTTGTCCTTCCTCTACTGCTGCACGGTTTCGGTTACGGTCCTGGGCGGTTTCCGATACGGCCCGCACCCTAAACCCGAAACCCTAGACCCGAAACCCTAGACCCTAAACCCTCCTAAACCCTAAACCCTCCTAAACCCTAAACCCTCCTAAACCCTAAACCCTAAACCCTAAACCCTGAACCCTAAACCAAAGAACAGAATGCCCAGGACTGGTACGACACCATTACCGGCCGCCTGAAGCCAGGGTGTTGGACAAAACGAAATTTCGGGTTTAGGGTTTAGGGTTTCGGGTTTGAGGCTTAGGGTTTGGGGACCCTAGGCCCTAAACCCTAAACACCCTAGACCTGAGTCCCCGAAGTGTACCCTAAACCCTAAACCTTAAACCTTAAACCCTAAATTCTAAGTACTCTAGAGCCACCGACAGCCCGGAGCCCTCGCGAATTGTAGGTTTGAGGGTTGTAAGAGCCCCTTTAACCATCAAGCCATGAAACCCCAAGCCGTAAACCCACAACCTGGGTCTAGGGCTTAGGGTTTAGGGTTTAGGGCTTAGGGCTTAGGCTTTAGGATCCCTGTTCAGGGGATTCCGAGCGCGCCCCGTCCTGGGTGGCATCTACATCGGCCTCCTTCGGCAACCGGGCAGCTTGCTCTGCAACTGTGCACCCTCCAAAATTTAGGGGGCTGTTAGGGTTTAGGGTTTAGGGTTTATGGTTTAGTGGGCCGCCTTCTTGTTTTGCTGGGTCTTCGCTTTTTTTGGATTTCGTGAGTTTTCGCCTTTTTTGCGTAGAAGGTCTGAACTGCATAATGTTGCCTCTCAACCCTACATCCGCAGGGTCTTTTGTGTGTGTGTGTGTGTCCTAAACCCTAAACTCTAAACTCTAAACCCTAAACCCTAAGCCCCAAACCCTAAACCCCAAACCCTAAACCCTAAACCGCGCAGGCTCAACCGACATCGTGGTGTGAGCGCGGCCGACGCCAGAGTGGCGTAGGATTTCGGGCTCAACCAGGGCTCAGGGGTGGCAACATGGGGTTCTTGGGCTTCTTAGGCTTCTTAGGGCTTTTAGGGTTTTAAGGCTTTTTTAGGGTTCTCAGGGTTGCAGGCCTTTTTGGGATTCTCAGGGTTTTAAGGCTTTTTAGGGTTTGAGGGCTTTACGGTTTAAGGATGTTAGGGTTAGTAGGGTTTAGGCCTTCTCATCGGTTCCCATGGATCCACCACTTTGAATGTGGTCCGGGCCACGTTCCCCTCGCTGCGTGGAAGAAAGGGAAAACAAGCCCGAGGCCCCAACCCCAAACACTAAACCCTAAAACTCAAACCCGAAGCCCTATAGGCCCTAAACCCTAAACCCTGAACCCTAAACCTCAAACCCTAAACCCTGAGCCCTAAACCTCAAACCCTAAGCCCTAAGCCCTGAGCCCTGAGCCCTACAGCACGACAAACCAGCCCTGGAGCTCAGACGCCAGGGCTTCCCAGCAGCCCGAAACAGCCCCCACCCCCCCAAACAGATCGGGGTTCAGGGTTTAGGGTTTAGGGTTTAGGGTTTAGGGTTTAGGGTTTAGGGTTTAGGGTTTAGGGTTTTTGGGTTTAGGGTTTGAGGTTTAGGGTTTAGGGTTTTTGGGTTTAGGGTTTAGGGGTTTAGGGTTTGAGGTTAAGGGTTTAGTGTTTGGGGTTTGGGGCTTAGGGTTTAGGGCTTAGGGTTCAGGGCCCCAAAGCTCTTAACCCCCCCTGCAAGCGCAGCCTGCCTTTCGAGCCAGGCCCTATCCGCAGACATTGTGGAGCTTCAAGCCAAGGCTCTTCCCTCGTTTTAAAGGGTTTAAAGGGTTTAAAGGGTTTTAA